TTACACATCTGTGAGTAGATTAGTTTTGCACATCAGCTTGTTGGAATTTTAGCCCATTCCTCCATACAAAACAGCTTCATCTCTGTTATGTTGGTGGGTTTCCTCCCATGAACTGCTTGCTATAGGTCCTTCCACAACATTTCTACAGGATTAAAGTCAGTACTTTGACTTGGCCATTCCAAAACATTAGCTTTATGTTTCTCTAACCATTCTTTGGTAGAACGATTTGTGTGCTTAGTGTCATTGTTTTGCTGCATGACCCACGTTCTCTTGAGTTTCAGCTCACGGTCAGATATCCTGACATTTTCCTTTAGAATCTGTTGGTATGATTCATTGTTCCATCAATGACGGCAAGCTGTCCTGGCCCAGATGCAGCAAAACAGGCCCAAACCATGATACTACCACCACCGTGTTTCACAGATAGGATAAGGTTTTTATGCTGGAGTGCAGCGTTTTCCGTTCTTCAAACATACCACTCCTCATTTAAACCAAAAAGATCTATTTTGGTCTCATCATGGCCTGCCATGTACACCACTGTCGTTCAGTGATCTACTGATGGTGGACTCATAAACATTAACGTTAGCCACTGTGAGACAGGCCTTTAGTTGCTTAGTTCCTTTGTGACCTCGCGGACTATTACACTCCTTGCTTTTGGTGTGATCTGTTTTGGTCAACCACTCCTGGGGACGGTACCAATGGTCTTGAATTTCCTCCATTTGCACACAATCTGTCTGACTGTAGACTGGTGGAGTCCAAACTCTTTAGAGATGGTTTTGTAACCTTTTCCAGCCTGATCAGCATCAACAGCTCTTCTTCTGAGGTCCTCAGAAATCTCCTTTGTTCGTGTCATGATACACTTCCACAAACATGTGTTGTGAAGATCAGACTGTGATAGATCCCTGTTCTTAAATAACAGGGTGGTCACTCACACCTGACTGCCATCCCATTGATTGAAAACACCTGACTCAAATTATCTGCTAATCCTAAAGGTTGACATACTTTTCCCACTCACAGATTAGCAATATTGGATCATTTTCCCCAATAAATAAATGACCAAGTCTAATATTTTTGTCTCATTTGTCTAATTTGGTTCTCTTTATCTACTATTAGGACTTCTGAGGAAGTTTTAGGTGAAATTCATGCAGAAATATAGAGAATTATAAAGGGTTCACAAACGTTCAAGCACCACTGTATCTAATCTCCTCTGAACTATCTCCTGAAAAAATGAATAACTTTTACCTAATGACCACTTTGTCTGGAATAAAACAAATCAAGCATGGTCTCTGACTAGTGTACCACACATTCACCAAAGTTAGATCCTCCTTTAAAAGGTTTATGAGAAAACATGAAGGACTCAAAAGCATATGTCAGATGTGACACACATGCAATGCACATACGCACAATAGCTGTGCAGCGTTTGGACAGAGGCGCTATGTAATAGAGTGCTTTGCACTTGATGTCACACCCAATTTGCGTCCCATGCCTTAGAGCGCTGGGGCTGGAGCTGCTGGGACTCTAAGCAACAAACACGCATGGCCAGCCCAGATCTGGACATTAATCAGTTGTGACAACACGGTCCTATTGGTTGCATATCTCTGTTCCACCCAATTAGATTGATCATTAAGGCTGCTGTAGGTACCCCCCCCCCAGCAACTCCCCCCTCTCCATTTACTGCTACTGCTCAGTCATCCACACCCAAACGCTCACACTGCATTATACGCACACATGCACAAAAAAGCGCATCATTAATCAAACCACACAGCTGGAATATCCGTTACAGGCTCATAATAACAGTTCTAGTTAACGTTTGAAAATAAATCATACTCTGCAGGAAGATACGTCCCCCAGTGTATCTTGCTCTGAAGGAATCAATACTCCATAATCATTGACATTACCTCCATAGCATATAGGTTCTAAAATCAGATTCTAAAACATTCAAAACTATTGTAAAATTGGTCAGATCATTTGTTGCCTCAGCCTTACAGAACAGTGGCACAGGAACTGCTGTTCCAGATGGGCATTAGGGGGCAGATTTCCCAATTTTCCCCTGATGGGGTGATGGTTAAACCTTCCTCAGTTGTTAACAATTTAGGTGTAATCTTTGTTTTTTCACTTTCTTTTAAAAAACACTTTCTTTTTGGGACACTGGCCAGAGACATATTGCAAATTTTCACCCCAAGCTTAACATGACAGATGCACAATCTCCGGTCTATGCCTTCATATTCTCCCTTCTCGCTTCTGTAACTCTCTCTTTACTGGTATTCCTGACAAAACATTACATCTTCTACAATATCTTCAAGCCTCAGCTGCTACAATTTTTTCTCACCCTTTAAATCCCATACAGATTCACCTCATACTAGCAACTACCTGGAACACCACAACAACCACCCAGCAGTTCCTTGGCAATCATGAGAGACATTATAGTAACCACTTAACAACAACCTTGTAATTACTTACAATTCCATAGAAACCACTTAACATTACCCTAGTAACCACCTGGAACACCATAGCCACCTTCTTAGCAAACTAGAGATACCATTTTTATCACCTAACCCAGGGGTCGGCATCCCAAATGTTAAAAAGAGCCATTTTGTCAAGTTTCAACAAAAATCTAACCACCTTGGGAGCCACAACATTTTATGTCCATTTTACTGAAGTAACGTTTTACCATCTTGGCTGTAAATATGTCTCAGTATATGCTACGATATATTAGTATAGGCTAAAAATATAAAATAAGCGAAAACGCAAACTTACTTTGCTCTGCTTTAAGCTCCAGCTCAGCTAAAGCCACTTTTCTCGCATCTCCGGCAGGAAACTTTTCAGCAAAAGTAAAATAGTTTCTTGTAACATGTCTCTTAACGTTCGACTTTTTACGAGGCTGAACTCAGCTTCTCATTCACCAGCTTCTTGTTCGAATTTTCTCATTCCACCTTAAATGGTGCCTGAGGTGCCAGAATGTAGCTAACTATGTAGCTAACTGTTGCACCATTTAATGTGGAACGTAAAAATTCAAACAAGAAGCTGGCGAATGAGAAGCTGAGTTCAGTTTTGCAACCTTTTAGTGTTTGACAGTTTCTCGTTGCAGATTAAACATATCAGGAAACTGGCTGAGTGCTTACAAATGTAAATATTTTGATGTCTGAAATCTCTCTCTTTGCCTTTTCATTAGCTACTAGCTGGGCGACATTGTTGTCTGCGTTGCTATGGTGACCAGCAGTCTGCGCACCAACCTTCAGGGCTAAAGGGTGAATAAGCAGTAAAAGTAATAATAAGTTATACATATAACTCCAGCATTTAAGACCATTTATTGTTTAAAAAGCTTTATTTTACTGCAATGGAGGATTATTTTATTTGTACCTAAAAATCTAATTGTGCTGTGGAGCCGCAACAGGGCAGTAAAAGAGCTGCATGTTGTCGACCCCTGACCTGACCCTAACAACCCTCTAACAACACCCTAGCAACCAACTCAAATACCAAAGTAATGATCTAGCAACTTCTTAAAAACACCCAACAGCGCCCTTGCATGGCCACCCTAGCTGGAACAGCAATTTAGCCAGCTTTGTCAAACCAACTCAAAGTTTGTTCATATTTTATTGTTCACATCACCCATACTGTGACATGTTTCTGCATGAAACACAGTATCAGGGAGATTTTCCTATTTTTAAAAGTATTTTCTCTTGATGATATGTAGGAGGAAGTGGGAGGGAAACTTTATTTTAGTCAAGTTAATATTATTTTTTCAGGTCCACTTGTGCACAATTATATAATCAAAAATCAGAAGATATTTTAGAGCAAACATTATTACAATCTGATCAAAGATAACAGCAAAATTCTGCATAATATGACCAGCAAAATAAACAAACAAGGTAATAAAGCTCAATTTGGATTTCAGGTTGATTTTAAAGTATTCAATATACGGATAATTCTGTAGTAATGGGTCAGTGACATGACACATATTTGTGTGCCCATTATTTTCTTATTAAATAATCGAATAAACATATGTCATATGTCATCATCTACATCATTCTACATACCTTCTACATTTTCAGCACATCAAAATAAAATTCATTTTAGGTACTTACACTTCCATCCAACCATATTAAAAGATTAATTAAACTATTAGAAAAGGTAATTTAGTCATATAACATTCAAAATAAAATAGTTAATAATAATAGTTGATTTTATGTTTGAAACCTTTACAATCATAACATGCTGCAGCTTTAAAAGTATTCAACTCATTGAAAAGCTTTCTAACATATAGCATTGTGCAAAAGCTTTAGGCATCTGAGATAATTAGATTTAAAAAGCTGTTTATCTGGGAGGCAGTAAGCATTTCTGTGTACAAAGAACCCACTAATATTAGAATAAATATAAATAACATTAATACAATAGGCAACGATTTTATGTATCTATTTTTATACGCAAAACAGACTTATTACATAGATTAATGGTTTTAAACAATGTACTTTGATGTCTAAGACTTCTGCACATCATCGTATGTGATGAAAGTAGCCAATAGCCAGCAGGTCAGACCTGAGAAGAGGTCTAATATGTAAACAGACTGGAGTCTGACTGACCCCCTTCCCTGCATACAAGGTTTAGGAACTTAAGAACTTAAGAAGCAATGAGGCACGAACACACTGAGTGGACACATGGGGCACATGCGATGAGTGGTCAGATCCATGCATATGAGATAAAACAGATGTGGGATGCTGGATGTTACTTTTTATAAGTGCTTGAACACATAAAAACACATGAAAGTGGTTATGAGGATGCAGCCAGATGTGGTGCTGCATTAACAAACCACATTTTCACACAGACCCGTTAGTAATCCAGTGTCATCGAGTTTCACACGTCATAATGGCATGTGTGAAAATTCACATCGCAGTTTCATTCGATTAGTTCCACATTGAGAATTAATGCAGCACCACTCTGCCGCGCTCGTGATTAATGAAGACCGAACTTCAAAGGAAAAAGGACGAGCGTTTCAGGTTTCTCACGTTTTGTTCTTCCTTTTCTGATACTTTGTCACCATGTCTTGTAAACTGTCACATACACACAGAGAGGAAAGGGAAAAGAAAAGAGAGAAGAAGATGAGTGAGCTTCAGATCATACAAAGGAAAAAGAGAGGCCCAATCAGAAATCCCTCCTTACCGTGTGGTGGAACTGAAAGGAATGGAGAACGCTGTATGATTACACAAAGTACTGTGTAAAAGTCAGAGACCACCCTTTGTTTGTTTCATTTCTAGTCAAAACAGCCATTGAGTTTAAACCTATTCATTTTTCAAGCGATATTTCTGAGGGGATTTTCCATTAAGAAAGTCAATGGAAAAATCAGGAGTTTCCAAAACTGGAGCTCAAAAAATGATTAATAGATACAGAGAAAATAAAACTCCTAACAACCACCTGAAACACCTGGTAGACACCAAAACTGTCCCCATCAGATAAACAGCACTTAAAGCTTTCGTCTTTGAGAACTAAAGCTCCACTTTTGCTTTAGATTTCAAAGAATCCACAGGTAAAAAGATAAATCAGTCTGAAAGGATGTGTAGCTGTCAAGAAGAAGCCAATGGGCTGTCCATGCCAGAGTCCAGACCTCAGGATCACTAAATGTGTTCAGATTACTTAGATCATAAGAAGCAGAAAGTGCAACCAACTTCTGAGACTGAACTTTGAAAGTGTGGAAAAATATAATTGAAGACAACGACATCAACAAATGTTCACAATACTAGAACATTGTTTATTTTACACCTCCACTGTTTATGACCTAACTGGCCTGCTAAGCAAACTTTGTAATGCAGAAAGAAAGAAGCAGAAAGTGCAACCAACTTCTACGACTGAACTTTGCAGGTGTGTAAAAATATCCCTGCAGATTCAATCAAAAACCTGAAAGTGAATCTCCTGAAAATAAGAGAAGCTGTAATAAAGGTAAACTATGTCACATTTAGTTGTTGAGGCTTCTGCGTAACTTTGTCAAATATGTTTTCTGCTTTTTTCCGGATGCTGTAAAATAAATAACTTATACTTAATGGCTGTTTTGACTGAAAATGAAATAAAGGAAATGGGGATTTCTGACTTTTGCACAGTGCTGTAGTATCAAAATAGATTTATATTCAAGGAAAGATGAGTTTTAATATGGGCGTGGGAGTGAATGCATGTGTGTGGTTGATTTCTTTACACAGTGAGTCTCCCTGACCTGCTATTTGCCTGGGGAAAGAAACTGAAGGGGAGGTACAAACTATCACTCTCTACAATGTTTACTTCAGAGCCACACAGAGATAGCAGAACTCTCCTCCAGCTTGGTGAAAAGCAGCTTCCTCAGAGGGACGCTAAACAAGAGGGGGAAAAAACAACAGATACAAGAAAAAGGCTCCGGGGACACCATTAAACCAGTCCACTATCACAAACAGGGAGAGAAAAACCACAGTCCACAAATACAGTAGAGATAAAAGAAGAAAATGAATTTGAGTTCATAAAGAACACACAGCTAAAGCTGATCTCATCTACCAAGAAACTGTATTTTTAAATGCATGGTGTCTGTAGAAGCATCATTTCTCCTAAAATATAAGCAGAGAAAAAAACAGCTGAATTCCTAAGCATTTGAAAACACAAGGCATGGATTAAAAGGTCAGGGTATAAAAAAGTTTAACATAAATATAATAAACCTGAAGCTTTTCATTCGCAGGAGATAAAATCATTTCTTAATGTGAGACGGGCCTGTGCTTGTTGACTGTTTACAGAGTTACAGCAGTAACAGCACTACGGCTGCAAAAAATTGTGTCTTCAGTACTCTGACAGTTATTATTATTCATGTGAATTAATCATCCAGTAAATGATTCATCTGTTTAAATGTGGTCTCTAAATATGATGGGAACTGTGGTAATATTCTGACAACATGAAGTTCTGTTCACCAAGAACTAAATTACCACCAAAGAAAAAAAAAAGAAGTGTTTGTTTAAGAAATAGCTAAAAATGACTGATTATTAATTATTAAAAAATATGTAGCTTATCTAGCTTTTTAGGTTGCAGCATCATTTAACCAATTCAGCTTTTTTTTACTTGCTCATTCGCCAGATGAGCTGTGTGTAAACAGGGTTCCAAGATGAGGACATGACACTTTTGTTCACATGAAATATGTAAAATAAGTTGTATATTTACAGAAAAGTCATATGAATTTCACATGTAAGAAATGTGGGGTTACTTGTTATTTGTTTTTTGAAAACACATTTTTGGCACATTTCACATGTGAAATATATGCGGCTAATAAATCAGTTGTATGTAATTTAATAGCTGAGGTATGTAACGTTGTGATGGGACGAGCTGCCAAATGTTCAGTATTGTTGAAGAAGCTGCTAATTACTTCAAATTAATGAACTTTGAATATTCCAGTGACTAATGTTAGTAATGTAACATGAGCTGATGTCTGTAATGGTAACGTTGTGCTCCCATGGAAAGCAAAGTCAGACTTGCGCATGTTGTATGTTACTACTTTGACCTTCATTAAAAAAATGCTACCAGACTATATTTCTGTTTTCAACTTTCAGCTATAATTGTTCTTTTTCTTTCGCTATCTGCTCGCGTAGGTCCGACACTATAAGTGAATTGCTGCCCTCTTCAGATTAAGTTGTTAAGTCACTCTAGGTTGGACATCGCTTTGAAAATGTACACAAACAATCAGCAACAGAAATATTTGTTGATTATTTTTATTGGCAGTGTTACAAATATCAATAATGACTGAATAATTGTTTCAGCTTTAAACAAAAGCAGTTTAAAAAAATTATTATTTATTTATTTTATGCAAACCATAGCGAGACACTAGTATTCCCACGTCAACATAACTGAGCTTCTAAGCTATATGTTGGATGATGTAATAGTCTACATTAATAGCACAACATAGATGAGATCATTTTAGAAATGAAGCTGTTGAGCTGCACTGGTTTAACGCGCTAAGGGAGGCGGGGCACTGTGTGGATTCTCTTACTGGCACAGGCATAATGTGAGAAGACAGCAACAGGGTTGAACTCTGCTAGGAGGACGTACCTGTTGATGAGGTCATCATTGTCGTCACTCTCCATCTCATCCTCAATGGCTGCCTGCAGATCCCCGATCCTCTTAAAGGCCAATTTGAGGTCTGCCTGCAGGCTCTGATTGGCTGCTTCCAGGCTTTCAATGTCCATTTCCTGTAGGAACAGGGAATTCACCAGTCATTCCCTGTTGCTTTGAACTGAACTGAACTGAATTGCACTGAATTGCACTGGATTGGACTGGATTGGACTGGATTGACTAGTTGCTAATTCACTGTTCTTTATCTAATGGACCAGGAACCAGCTTACCAGTTCATGTTTCTTGCGACTGGCCTCTGCCTCTTTTTTGGCCAGCTCAGTCATTTCCTCCTTGATGTCGCGCATCTGCCGCTGCATGCGCTTGTTCTGCTCCTTCTCCCGGTTCTCACCGGTCACACGCTGGTCCTTCTCCTCCGTCATCTTCTCCAGGTTCTCCTTCAGCCGTGCCACCAGAGTCTGCCGAGCAGAGATGGGAGAATGGGTGATGAAGAGGAGAACACTGATGGTTTTATTGGAAAGGAGGGTAAAAACAATGCATCACGATGAATTGATCCGAAGTTGCTAATTCAGCTTCATCAATTTTGGAATGTCAGAACTTTGTATAATTGATTATACAAATTCAATCTGTGCTCATTTTTTGGGCCAAAATGAAATTCTAAGGCTATTTTCAAGTAAAAAATATTTGTTTCAAACAGTGACTCCAGTTCCCTCCATCTCTACATTCAGTGAATTTTTAATTCTGAACTGAACTAAAATCGTACCAATTCGAAACAATTTGACTGAGTGATTTGTGATTTGCTGAATAATTCCCTAAAGAATCATAAATTAATTGAAGCAGAACTCAGGTCAGATATTTATACCCCTGATGTGAGATTAAGAGCAGACAGTCAAATTATTCTGCATGATAACACACGAATATGAAAGCTGATTCCGTCAGGTAGGAGAGAAAAAATCACCTATTATAATCTCGTTATAATGACTATGTCAAAACAATTACTTATTTTTCTAAATAATGACTTACCATGTAAGATAATGTCTCATCTCATAATAATGTATCTCAAAACCTCTAGAAATAGATGTAAAATCAATATTTAGCAAAAAAAAACATTAATTCAAAATGAGTTATTATGTGCAGAAAGTAAGACATAATTTTGACATAAAAGGTCAATTTTTAGGGAAAAAGGTGATATGATATGATTTTAATTATTTTGAGAAAATAAGTGCTTTGAGACATAGTCAAAAGTCATTATTTTGAAATATTAAGTCATTATTTCAAGAAATTAGTCATTATTCTGAGATGTATAGTCAATATTTCAACAAAATTAGCAATTATTTTAAAAAGTCAACATTATCTACATAGATGTTAAGTCAATATTAAAAAAAGTCATTTTGAGATATAACTTCATATTTTACGAAAATAAGAAACTATGTCGAGCTATAAAGTTGGTCTATCTAAAAACAAGTAATTATTTTAAGATATTAAGTCAACACTTTGACAAAATAAGTTAGTATTTCTAGCTAATCTATCTAAGCCAATATTTCTAGAATATGACAATATTTAGAGAAAACAAGCAATTATTTTGCTATATAAAGTCACTATGTGAAGAAAATAAGTAACCACTCTGAGATATAAAGTTGTTGTTTCTAAAAAATAAGTAATTATTTCAAGATGTCAACTTAATTTAGATGTATTAAGCCAATATTTAAAGAAAAAAGGAATTAATTTGAGATTCAATATTTTATTAGATAATTAGTCATTATGTTGAAATATAAAGTCAATATTCCAAGATAATAAGTCAATAATTTGAGGAAATGAGTATGACTATTTCAAGATATAAACAAGAAAATAAGTAATTATGTTGATGTAAAATCATTATTTCTAGAAAATAAGTCATTAATGCAAGAAATTGAGACAATATTGTGAGAAAATAAGTAATTATTTCAAGAAAATAGGTCAATATTTTGAGAAAGCAAGTTACTATTTTGAGGTAGAAAGTCAATATTTAGTGAAAACAAGTCATTATTTTGAAATACCGAGCAATATTTAGAGAAAATATGCACTTCTTTGGGGATATAAAGCACCTATTTCAAGAAAACAACAATTATTTCAAAATACTAAGTCAATATTTTAACAGACTGCTACCAGTAACAGAGAAAGAGAAAAAAAACATGCAATGTTTTCTCCTCTATTTGGCGGAAAAAGGGCTTCCATACGCACACACACCCAGTCTGACACAAAAATCTGATGAACCATTATTGTGTCTCAGCAGTACAGAAACAGGAAGCTTCTCATTAGAAGTCTAGACCTGTATTTGTGTAGAGCTGCTGTTATAATGAGTGTTGCTAAGAACACTGTATATATAAGCTGAACTGAATTAAATCAATGTTGAGCAACTTGATGCTGAATTCGAGTCTACAGCTCCTGTAGGCTGAGTGTATGTCTCTGAGTGGGAGTGGAGGAAATCAATTCATTTCCACTCTAAGGCTCAATGCTCAATGACTTATGAACAGCCTAGCAACCCGGCCACCCACACAGAGAGCGTTCTCTCGCTCTCTCACCTCCAGGCGTTTGATCTGGGTCCTCTCGTACTCCAGTTTGGTCTCCAGCTCGCGGATCTTGGCCTCCTGCCGGCTGACCAGGGACTTCTCCACCATGGACTGCTCCTGGAACTCAAGCTGGCTCTGCAGAGACTGGAGCTGCACAACAAAAAAGGTCATCAGCTCTAAGGTCATCAGCTCTAAGGGCATCAGCTCTAAGGTCATCAGCTCTAAGGTCATCAACCATCATCTCTTTACTTTCCACTGTTCCATACTGAATGATTGTTTTGGCGATTTTTGCCAGTAAACACTACATAACAACAATAAATACAAATAAACATAAACACAGTAAAATTTAACAGGAATTTAACAAAACACCATGTACTGTTTACATTTGCACCATGAACGGGTTCTTCAGATTGACGGAGATCGATGTGCTGTAGATGGCTCTATATAGAACCTTTTTAAAAAGCATTCTTCTATTGTTACGATGTCAAGCCAGTAAGAATAGGAGAACACTTTTTGGTGCTATATAGAACCCTTTTCAAAAAGGTTCTATATAAAACCATATAAAGCACATTATTCATCAATCTGAAGAACTTCATGATGCAGAAAACCTATTAACCATGCAAAGGGTTCTTTGCATGTTCATGGTTCCATATAGAACCATTTTCTTTACTAAAGAACCATTTTTTTTGTAAGTGTGCTCTTGAGTCTCAACAGCACATAACAATTTTCTCAGTCTTGACTCAGATAATGCTCAAGACAGCCTAGTCGACTAGGCTATTTAAAGTGAAGCATGTTTTAAACCTAAAACGACAACCTATACACTGTATAATACACAAATTAAAGTGCTGTAGAAAACGTTTAATTCATTTTAATCACTGTTTAGTAATGTAGTAATGAGCAGCCAGTTAATCACTACCAACTGGCTTGGTAAGGTTTAATAGCTGTGGTGGAAAATGCGTAATTTACCCAACTTACTGCTTATTAACATGGTACATAAGCTGTTAGTTCATGTTATTGGCTTGAAAAGCTAGTTACCAGATCTTGGCTTGATAGGGGTTGAGATTGTGATGTTTAATACATAAATAAAAACGTTCTGGAAAATACCTTTCACCTATTTTATCACCTTATAACACAGTAATAAGCAGCCAATTATTTAGCTGCTAGCATGATCAGGCTTAATAAGAGCCTTACAAGATGCTTAATTCACAGTAGTTACTGTTTAATAACACAGTAATAAGAAGCCAGTTAACTACCAACTATGCGCGTCTTACCGAAATTGTGTGGCTGTATTATCTATGAAAATACAAATAGCAGATCAGTTTCAGCCAATACTCAGTATTAAAGTATTAGGACTGAATCAGATGACAAAAACATGGTTATAAAACAACTTAATTTTATTTAGACTTAATTCCTCTATTCATTATTATTATTTTTACAAGCATAAGAATCAAACTGAGCAGTCATGATGTGCTTGTACAATGACAATAGTGCAATAGAGTCAATGGCTGGTAGTATTTTTTCCCGAAGTCAATCCTCAATTTTCACCCAACTAACACGAACCAATTTTTCCAAGAGTTACTACTAAAACAAACTTTCATCTTCAGTGTTGCGTCATAGGCAAAGAGCAGATGATGTGCCTCGACTGCACAAGTTTAAAAGTCCAAGATAAGATCCTGTCTCTTTTAATAACTGACAGAAGAGAGGGAATCAGGAGGGAATAACAAACAAGCGCTTGGCTTTGAGGAACGGCGGACAAGGGTTTGCTATCTTGTTCGTTCAGGAAGGCAGCTGTTAAGCTTCTTCTGTATGTTATACTGACTATTTAATCGCTCTTATTTGGCTGTTATGATGTGAATACTACTGCCTCAGACCCGACGCGGCTTTCTAAAAATAAGGAGCTTTGCATCAGAAAAAGGCCCAATCTGGAGCTCCCAATTTGGTGTCATTAAAGAAAGTGAACTGTGGCTGTCCAGGGAGCAGCTAATCACTGCAGGGACACTAGCTTTAGATAAGGATCTCAGAAGATATGAGCTTGTTAGGGCTATCTTACTGCCACCAGCGCTCCGAGACACAAAGCACAGCTCTATGCATGAGCTTGCTGTTCAACCCACAGAGGAGTGACTGGTCTGTTGCGAGGATTAGGACTGTCCCCTCAACTAAGTCGACCAGTCAGATGATCATCCGTCACATTCTTGGTTGACTAATTGCATTTAGTTATTTCTTTATTTTGAGAAGTGAACTGTAATTAAAACTGTAGAATGTAGCTAGAGAGTTTCCATACAAGTTTAAGTATTGGTACATGATGTCAGGCTAATCTGTAACCATACAGCACTTTACAAATGTCAAAAAACACCCTTTTGTCACAAAGAAATCCTAAAATATATATTTAATAGAAAATTACACAGACGCCTCAACAACTTAATATAATCTTTAGTCCACACTTTGCCTTTATTACAGCTTCCATTCTCTTCAGAAGACTTGCTTTCAAGTTTTTCAAAGAAATCTGCAGCTACATCTCCAAAGTTCGGTCTTTGAAGTTGGTTGCATAATGCATATTACAATTTCAGACTCATCAGTCTGTAAAATTATACTCCTCAGAAATCCAGTTTTGGTGTTGTAGTGCAAATGTTGTTCTTTTGTCTATTTCTTTTCTCAGTAAGAGCTTCTTGAACAGCTACATATCCTTTCAGACCCACAGCGCTGTGTTGTCCTCTCACAGTGGAAGGATGGACTGTGGATGTTTTCAGATCTGAATCAAGAGTGGAGCTTGATTTTCTCCTCTCTCTCAAAGATGAAAGCTTTAAGTGATGTTTATCTGATGGGGACAGTGTTGGTGGTCTACCAGGTCTTGCAGGTGGTTGTTAGGAGTTCCATTTACTCCATATCTTTTAATAAGTCCAATTTTGGAATTTTGTTTTTTCCCCCCCACTTATTTTCCTTGGATTTTCCTCTTCCTTATGCAAGTGGATTATATTATATCTAATCTAATCTAATATCTCCGGTGAAAAAAATAAGGCCTCATTTATTTTCTTTCCATTTTTGTTGTTCCTTTTTTTACCCCCCACAAGAAAACAGCTACATAAAGTGAAGCATGTTTTAAACCTAAAATGGTAACCTATAAACTACATAACACACTAATAAAAGTGCTGTGGAAAATGCTTAATTCATTTTAATCACTGTTCCAGTTAATCACTACCAACTGGTTCAGTAAGGCTTAATAAGTGCTGTAGAAAACGCTTAATTTACTTAAGTTATGCTTATTAGCCTGGCCTGAAAATTTTGTTACCAGGTATTGGCTTGATAGAGGATGAGATTATGATGTTTAATGCATAAATAAAAGGGTTCTAGAAAATACTTTTCACCTATTTTTACCTAATAACAGTAATAAGCAGCCAATTATTTAGCTACTAGCATGATAAGGCTTATATCTAATATCTTATATCTAATCTCAGAAATATCTCCTGGAAAATAAATAACTTTACTTAATGGCAGTTTTGACTGGAAACTGAATCAAACTGAAAGGCTCTGACTTTTGCAGAAAACTGTATAGTGGAATAAAAGCTTACATTTAAGGTGCACTGTAATTCTATAATTTACAGACCAGCGTTGTACAATACTATACACTTAAATGATGGTTCTTTAAGGGTTCTTTCATAAAGAAACATTCAAAGAAAGAACCTCTCCCATTATTAAAGGGTTCTTTGCATCATGAAAGGGGTCTTCAAATTGATTGAAAATATGCTGTAGATGTTCCTTTTGAAAAGGGTTCTACACAGCACCAAAAAGGAGGTTTTCTAATGTTACAATGTCAGGCTTGTTACAATACAAGAACCCTTTTTGGTGCTATATGGAACCATTTTTATAAAGGTTCTATATAGAACCATCTACAGCACATTTTGCAGCCATCTGAGAACCCCTTTCATGATGCAAAGAACCCTGTAATCATGCAAAGGGTTCGTTGAGTGTTCATGGTCCTATGTAGAACCATTTTCTTTGCTAAAGAACCCTTAAAGAACCATTTTTAAGAGTGTATATCCTTTCTTTATTAGGCCTTTTTGTTGAAAATCGGGATAACCCTACTCAGGGATCTCCTCAGTGAAATTCATTACTGCAATTTAGACCATTGTTGGAGACCTGTCAGGTTATGTTGGAGTACCTTATCTTGAATCTCCTGCTTCTCCTTTGCAGCCTCCTCCAACTGAGCTTGCAGGTCACTGATCTGGGCCAGGTCTCTCGCAGACTGCAAGCAAAAGAAACACAATCGTATCAATCCTTCACAACCTTCTTAAAACATCCACTGCACAATGACAGTGGCATTAATGGGGCTGAAAAACAGGAGTTCCTGATCAACCTGTGCCACAGCTGCCTTGTGCTTCTTCATCAGCTCGTTCATGTCCTCTTGGTCCTCCTCCAGACGAGACTGCAGGTCGTTCTTCTCTCTCTGCAGCCGGCTCACCTGCTCCTCCAGCTGAGAGACAGACAGAGCAATGATGTAAGAAAAGAGCAAAGATACTTCATTCCCGACAACGTTCATCATGGGTATTTTTAAAATGATTTCATTTTCATTATCATACACTTGCAGTTATGTTGCGCTTATTAAAAGTAATGTAGTGACCCCCCCAAGTTACACCGCACAAGGGGAAGGGACCCCATTGAACTTCGCATGGCAGTTCATATTCTGCTACTAATGGATTGCTTTCACAGACCTATGAGCACCTTCACTGAAAAAATATATAAATCATCAGTGGCAGCTTCACCTCTCTCATTATTTGCCATCTTAGCTACAAAAGGAACTTCTCCTCAGCTGTAGCTCTCTGCTATATTATAAAAAAGAATCCACTGTACAATTAAGTATATATCTGGCTGCTACTTGCATTACTTTTACAGTCATTTACTGTACCATCTTGACAGTAAATAACCGTAAAATAACAACTTCATAGTCACCTGGAGCACAAGATTACTGTAACTGTATTCTGCTGTACACTTGCAGTGATAAGCTGTAATCAAAATACACCTGTATATTTACATTACTGTAAATGTAATGGAACACAGTAAGCACAATAAGGCAGTAATCTACTGTAAAAAAATCAGAAAAGAGTGATTGGTAAATTCTATTTGACCTCTATTAAATTAAAAACGGTACCAAACACAATATTGGATGTTTCACCTTGCAAACTCTGTTTTTTATTTTTTTGTAATTATATGTTCATTTAAAATTTGATGTCTGCAACACGTTCCAAAAAAGTTGGGACAGGAGCATGTTCACCACTGTGTTACGCCACCTTTTCTCTTAACAAGAATTATTAATATTTGGTGTCAACACCACCTGAGACAGATCTGAAAGCAGATCAGCTAGTTTTGCAAGTCTTCAGCTGTACAACAATACGGGCCCGTCATAATGTGCCACACGTTTTCAAAATGAGACAGAAAGGCCAGTCGAGCACCCGCACTCTGATTATGCAGTCGTGCTGTTGTAACATGCAGAATGTTTCTTGCCATTGTGATGTTAAAATAAGCATATTTATCCTTGAAAAAGACGACGTCTAAAAGGCAGCATATCATTGCTGTCAGGGACAAAACCTCATATCTCCATTTTTGTCATCTTTCATTTTTTTAACATAGTTTTAAATGGTCAGTTGCCCTTTAGAACGTACCAAAATTTTATGATGAATGGACCAACAGAAATGGCACAAAATTACCTGGAAAAAATGATTTATCCTTTTACTTTCATTAAAAGTTAAGAATGTTTTTCCTTCTCCTGTAAAGTTACCTATATGGAGATACAAGGTTTTGTTCTGACAGCAGTGATGTGTTGCTCCAAAATAGGCATATATCTTTCGGTGTTAATGGTACTTTCACAGATGTGCAAGTTACCCACTAATACACCCCCATACCATGACAGACAGTGGCTTTTGGATGGTGCTTTACTTCTTTGGCCCAGAGAACACGACATCTATTATTTCCATAAACAATCTGACATGTTGACTTGTCAGACCACAATACAAGTTTCTACAGTGCATCAGTCCAAGTTGGCAGCAGTTCTGGACATTGTTGACAATGACTTCCACTGTGCATAGTACAGCCTAATTTGTATTTGTAGATGCAGCAACAAACAGTGTTTATTAACGGTTTGTCAAAGTATTCTGGCAAAATATGTTATTTAAAAATAAAAAAAAAACATCAGTGAACATATTTATTCATCATGTTTTACACTGTATATAGAATATCGCAAATATGCATTTTTAAAATGGAAATACGCATTATTCAGACATTTTTAATTTGCTTAGAATTTACATAGAATTACATGACCATATATCTGCCAATACTAACAAAGAACATTTTTGTCAACATCTTGATGTTCCAGCATTTAAACTATTTAAAAAAGCCCAGCATGAAACTTTATATGTCTTTAAAACTTAAGGATTAAAAACTTTGTTTTTATGTTTTGTATCAAAAGGTTTTTATTAAAATGTTTATGCCTTTTGAACCCAGTTGCTATCGTTTCCTATAATGCTGTGAAGTACAGCTCAAAGTCAACCTCACAGTAATTTGCTGAGATATTATAGAAAATATCTTAAGATTAGTTGATTTCACAATAGAATTTGAAATTCTGGCAATAATTACGAGTGTTGAAAACTATATGTTAGAAAACAAAGTCATTAACGCTGTAGCAGCGGGAATCAGTGGGTATTTCCCCACACACATTAGTTTTGGGGGGGCTAATGATCCCTCTCCCCCTAGTAGTTGGTACCTATATCTGGGTTTCTTGTTTATGGTTCCTGAACTGAAATCCAAGGCTCAGTTTATTCCCACAGCACAACAAGACACAACCAAGAAACAAAAATGAGATTTATGAGTGTTCAAATGCCAACCCGCAACACGCGCCCACCACCCTTACATTAAACAGACCATCCCTAAATACCATGTGGAAGGAGTCCTAATTAAACACACCAATCAGCAGCTCAAAACAGACCAGCACAGCCACCCACAGGGCTGTAACAGTCATTTACGTGCCATTATTATCATTAATATATGGCCCCTCCTGCAAAGATGGCAAATTAATAGTCAGAAACAAGATGTAATCATAATAAATTCAATAATAATGAGCTCCTGAAGAACTCAATTCTGAAACAACCTTAAAATATTAATATTAATATTATATTTATTTAGATAAAGAGCCAGATCTAGGCATCAATGGAACACCAAAACCAACATGGTGCTGTCACCCATCCATTCTCAGAGCATTAGTTGAAGGTGCTATATAGCTTTTGGCCTATCTTTTAATAAAACTGCAATACCTATATAGCTATAGGCCTGCATTTCAATAAAGCTGCTATAGCTTTATAGCTACAGGTTGGCCTTTTAATAAACCTGCTATAACTTTAAAGATATATGTCTGCATTTTAATAAAGCTGCTATAGCTTTAAAGATATATGCCTGCATTTTAATGAAGCCACTATAGCTTTATAGCTATAGGCCTGCAATATAATAAAGCTACTACAGCTTTATAACCATAGGCCTACATTTTAATAAAGCTGCTATAGCTTTAAAAATATATGGCTGCATTTTAATGAAGCCAGTATAGCTTTAAAAGTATATATCTGCATTTTAATAAAACTTGTATAGCTTTAAAGTTATAGGCATTTTTTTAATAAAGCTGCTATAACTTTATGACTTTAGGCCTGCCTTAAGTGGCTGTAGCTATAGAGCTGCCTTTTAAATTATGCTACAATTACTATATTGCTACAGGGCTTTTTGTTCGTATCTGCAATAGCGATATAGCTATAAGCTTGCCTTTTACTGGTAGCTAGCTTGTTTGTCTTTTAGTTAAGCTGCTATAGCTTCATGCCTATTGGTCTACCTTTCAATAAAGCTGTTATAGCTACATAGCTACAGGCCTACCTTTCAACAAAGCTACTGTAGCTATATAGCTATAAGCTTGCCTTTTAATAAAGCTACTAAAGCTTTGCAGCTACTGGCGTACCTTTTAATGAAGCTGCTATAGCTATATAGCTATATATAGCTATATAGTTAAGCTAAAATAACTACAGTTCTAGCCATATATACACCTGCCTTTTAGTTAAGCTGCTATAGCTGGGCCTGTTGGAGTTGGACATTATTGCCCTATATCAAGCTGACCAGAATCATCGGCCGCTGGCCTATCTCATGGATCTTTCTTCTGTATTAATTTCATCTTTTTATTCTTATAAACGCACGTTTCATCTCAAACTATATATTCCCAAGTGCGCCCTAAAGCTAGATGGCTCTGCTTTTGAGTCTTGGTTACTCTCAATGTTTCTTCCTTATGCTTTTAGGTCACTTTGTCTTGCCACTGTCCTCCTCAGCGACACTCATTAAGGGAGCTGCAACCAGAATTCTGTAAAGTTGCTTTATGACAAAATGTAAGGTAAAAAAAAAGCACTACACAAACAAAACTAGACTGAATTAAACTGGAACGAAACAGATAAATAAGAAGGCTAATAGAGGTCCTTCAGCTTGGAAAACGCCTCTCTCTGAACCTGTAAGATTGACATTGAGGTCCTTTCTCTTTCTTTTGTCACAAAAAGCTATGTGCTTTGCAGTAATCCACATGTAATCTGTGAGTTCTGAATAAAAATATCCTTAAAACTTGAAAAGAGCGTTTTTTAACATCCATAGCAAGCACCAGCAAAGTTTTAATGACCATGTTTCTGGCGTTTTGTAGTAAGAAACAGAGCAGGACTGAACACAGTAATTACACAGAGTAATTGCATGTTGTTGGCTCAGGCAGAGACGAGGAGATTACATGCTTTAACTCCCGTCGTCTCCCCCATAACCGCACACAATAACACACAATAACCAACTGCAAAGCTCATCGGTGTACAGCCTGCACCTGCATTCGCCCGCCAAAAACAAAGGCCACCCCTACACAGTAGATGAGAATGAATCTAGCACACTGAAAACAGGGGTGGGCAGCCTACTCATATTAAATTATGCAATATATCTCAGGCAGATGGGTTTGCGGGGCAGTGTGTAAAGCCCCCCCTCCACAAAAAAACACAGCCGATGCACGGCTGTCCTTGAGAAGAATGATTCACGCTGACTTGTGTTTCGTGTTTTTCAGGGTCAGACAACGCGTATGGAAGGAGAATGAACACTTTGTCGATAGTCGTCAGTTAGCATTGCTAACTGATTCCCTCAAGTCCTCTGAAAACACAGCAAGTCGAATCAATCTGGGAGATGCCTTGCTTTGCTAGTAGAACAGAATTCTAAATGTGGACCTTCGCTGCCTTTGCCTGGGTCAATTCTTCATTATCTGGGCATCTTGGCTAGCACACATACTGTTTTACAGAAATTACAGCATTTTTTTGAATGTAAACAGCAGGGCATATTAATAGAGTGATTCAAATTCAAAAGCCGTCATGCTGAGAATGCACTAGCAGTACGCGGCTCTACTCATGAATGTTCTCGGCTTTCTTTATTTTACTACACCGTGCGCCTGCTGCGGAACTTCAGTCAAACGCCCTTCATTCGCTGCCAGAGCAAAAGAGAGAGGAGGAAAGAGTGAGAGAGAAAGCGGAAGAGAGAAAGAGAGAGACTAGTGGGGTTTTCATTCAAACGTTTTCGCAAATTTAAAACCAATTTCTGAAAAAGCATTAAAAGAAAATGGGAACTGAATCAGTGTTTCCATAATTCTAATGCGCAAAATCCTAAACATAACAGCACATGCATGCGCAATATGACGTGAGACAAGAATGGAGGAGTAGGGCACCTCCTGGTAGGGCAGTTTTGCCCTCCATCACATGTACATAGCTGTAGCCCTAACAGTTCAAAGACACTGGGCAGTCCAGATGTAGTGCTGTCTCAATTCCAACACTATTGTACTAAGTCAGGGGTCGGCAACATGCGGCTCCGGAGCAGCTCTTTTACTGCCCTGTTGCGGCTCCACAGCAGAATTCGATTTGTAGGTAAAAATAAAATAATCTTCCTTTACAGTAAAATAAAGCTCTGCTAATCGTTGATGTGTAACTGATAAATCACCAGCATTTAACCCTGAAAACTGGCGCACAGACTGCTGGTCACATAGCAGCGCAGCTAAATCTCGCCTAGTTAGTTGCTAACCAAAAGGCCAAGAGAAAGATTTAAGATGAACATCAATAATTTCAAAACGAATGGACTTATTTGAATTCATTCATTATTTACAGAAGGCACCATTTAAGGTGGAATGGGAAAATTTGAACGACAAGCTGGCGAAAGATGAGAGACATTTTACTATTCTACTTTTGAAAAAGTTTCCTGCTGGAGATGCGAGAAAAGCGGCTACAGCTGAGCTAAAGCTTAAAGCAGATCAAAGTAAGTCTGCGTTTTTGTTTATATTACGTTTTTTAGCCTTTAGCATGTACTGAGACATATTTACAGCCAAGATGGTAAAATGAACCTAAAATATTGTGGCTCCCAAGGTGGTTTGATTTTTGCTGAAAGGACAAAATGGCTCTTCTTAACATTTGGGTTCCAGACCCCTTGTGATAGTACCTTTGATGGTCTGCTGTTTAGTATGGTATATAGATCATCAGATGCAGCAGAAACATGTGACAGCATCACTTATTAGAAAAATCTGTTTACATTACTATATTTCTCCATTATTGATAAACTTTTTGTAGAGATTTTGGGGAGTTTCTGGCTTTTCCATCCAGCTTTTTTATGCACATTTGCCAAATTTGCATAATAGTGGTGGAGGGAAGCCCGCAATTGACTCACAGACATCTTGGCCTTGGATATGTCCTCCATCTGGATGTGCAGGTCCTCAATCTCCAGCTCCATTGACTTGCGAGCTTTCACGGCAGCTGCAGAGGTGAACTCTGACTCCTCCAGCTGCCGGAAAACAGACAAACACAGTTAGGTACAATGTCAAACCTCCACTTCCCCTTTACCCTTTAAGCACTTTAAAACACATCAGATTCACCTGCCGCACTCCAATCCATGCCTGGAGAAGCCCCAGACTTTCCACAGTCCCACCATACCTTGACCAAGAAAATCAAGAATACTGCTGGGAGCTGGGATAAATATGGACTGTCTGGGAATCCTTAAAGACTGGACTGGGAAACAATCTATTCTGTACTTGCATCTTTATGCTCTTTATATTCGCTGTATTCATTTGGGCAGGCAACAGTACGTCTATATATATTTTATGCATTTATTCAGGATGTTAAAGTGAATGTATTAATAATGCATTAATGTGATAAATTGTTAACGCTGCTATTTGTTTAATGTTGTTAATGCGTTTCCCTATTTTGAACCTTCAAACCATCCACAGTGGTTCAGACTGAAGCTCTGCTGTGTGTGCACTGTATATTGTTTGTTGTATTGAATTGATATATTGAAGTTTATATGTCAAACATTGTCATGAGGGACAATGGTAGTGGGTACATGTAGTATTGTGTAATAGTATTTATTTAATTTCCAGGCAAATCAGCCATTGAGCACAAGATATTCATTTTTCATCATGGAAAAAGCAACAAAAACATACTAAAACTCACTAACTATAATATATTTTAGGTATTTAGCATGTCCACCTGAACCTTTATCACACCTTCCATTCCTCTCAGATTTGCTTTCCGTTTTTCAAAGTTCAATCTTACAAGATGGCTGAATTATTTTTTCTCATGATTGAAGGAATGACAATGACAAATTTGGACACATCAGTCTTAGAAGTTGGTTGCATTTTTTGGATTTCACGATCAAAATAGTCCCAAGCACATTCAGTGACGTTGAGGTCTGCACTCTTATTCTAGACCACGACAATGCAGCACTAAGCAACATCACAGTACAAATCAAGCTCCTGCTCACAGCCCACCTGGTTCTTCAGTTGAGTTATCTCCCTCTTGCTTGGCGCATTGTTCTTCAAATGATCCAGCATGACCTGGGCATCAGCCAGCAGGACCTTGGTGCGCTTGAGATCTTTCTTTAGACGCCTCTCCGTCTCCACGTCCCTTTGGCTCACCTGGGGAGACACATGATACACAAATGAGGATTCTTTGTTACGGAACCATAATACATCCCAAATTATTCTATTTGTTCAAGGTAGCTACATTATAACTATAATGTACAAACGTTAGACGGAGTTTCAACATTTAAAAAATGTCAGTTGTTTGTAATGTCCATTAAGTTCAAAATATTAAATGTTTGATTTGAGTCTGACCAAACCCTACTAAAATCCAGGCACTAGTGTGTGTGTGTGTGTGTTTGGTGGTAGGGGGTGTGGTGTAAGGACAATGTGTGGATTTTCCATCAAATTTCTGTTAGTTTTGTATTATTTGTGGTATGTTTGTGATTTGATTCTAACTTTCGTGTTTTGGTTCTTAACTAATCGTCAACCATGAACCATCTGAGAGACTTTCCACCGCAGCAGAGGGGTTTGAATGGACTGCTGGACAAGAGAGGAGTTTGACTAGGCCGCATACCGGGGGACTTTGCACCACAATAGAGTAGTTTGACTGGGCCACAGACTGAGATACCTCATGCTGCAACAGCGGAACTGGACTGGGCCAAGGGCTGAGAGATTTTGTACCATGGCGGCGGAGGTGGACTGGGCCGTAGGCAGAAAGACTCTGTTGCAGGCAAAGAGCCATCACAGTCTGACAAAGAAGTGTTCACCTTAGATGAGGAGTGAGTCTGGTCTGCTGGCCAAAAGACTTTGCACCACAGCAGCAGGAGGGCTGACAGGAGCAGCTGACCGGGCCACTGGCTCAAAGACTTCAAATTGAGGCAGAGGAGTCAGACTGGGCAGTGAGCTGTGTTGGTGTTTGTCGGGGCTGACTGTCAAAAGACTTCGCACTGTGGCTACAGAGATTGACTGGTCTATGGGCTAAGAGACTACGTATTATGGCAGAGGAGGATGACTGAGCCATGGGCTAAGAGAGACTACACACTGCAGCAGAGGAGGATGACTGGGCCATGGGCTAAGAGAGACTATGCATTGCGGCAGAGGAGGATGACTGGGCCATGGGCTAAGAGAGACTATGCACTGCGGCAGAGGAGGATGACTGGGCCATGGGCTAAAAGAGACTACGCACTGTGACAGAGGAGAATCACTGGGCCATGGGCTAGGAGACTGCACCACAGCAGCAGAGTTGGACTGGGCCACAGGCTAAGAGACTGCACCGCAGCAGGAGTTTGAATGGGCTGTGAGCTGAGAGATTTCAGTGTTGGTGGTACAGTGTGACTGGGCCACAGGCTGAGAGACTGTGCATCACAGCAAAGAAGTTTGACTTGGCTGTGGGTCGAGGGACTTCACCCTGCAGTGGCAGAGTCTGACTAGGCCATGGGTTGAGAGACTTTGCAACACAGCTGTGAGCTCCTTAAGTTTCAGAAAGCTGCTATATCAATTAAATACTTTTATTACTGCTAGACAGTGAAGTATAAAATCTAAGAATATAGTACATAGTGCTTGAATTGAGACACAGCAATGACATGGATGTCTGTCATGATGTGGGCTAACAAACCATATTCTGATTGGTAAGAGTCACTGGACTGTACCTGTTCCTGAGCACTGAGCAGTTTATTCTCCAGATCTCTCTTCTCTCTCAGAACCCTCTGCTTATCATCGTACTCCTCCTCCAACTGTACTTCCATCTGCTTCAGCTGTGGGATACATCAGACCACACACAGAAATACACACCTCAGCAGGATGTTTCCACAGTAGAGTATACACATTTTAAAAAACCCCAGTTGTTCAAAAGGCATCAAAAGCGCCATCAAAAAAGCCAGAGGTTAGACATGAGAGTATGATTCAGACTGTCTTACCTTCTTACTGCAGGACTGTCTGATCTCTTCCACCTCTTCATCCTTGCTCTCAATCTCTTTCGAGTGCGTCTGCCTCAGCCTCTCCATCTCCATCTCGAGACGCAACTTGGCCTGTCACACAAACAGAGCTCTATGTTTTCTAGACTAAACCCTCCCAGTGGAGTCTGTATGCTGTTCACAGTTTTTTTTCCAAGCTTAGAAAATACTTTCTGTAATATTTTACTGTTCTTGCCTAATGAAGTGAACAGTCTCAGTGGAGCTTGAGCAGGTCCTTCTAATCGGATTACTCTTCCCAAATACTTGAAACTCAGGCTTCCATCTCACTGTCTCCTACCTGCTCCAGCATTTGGATGGTTCCAGCCTGTTCATCCAGCTCCTCTTCCTGATCTTTGACCTTCGCTTCCAGGTCGCGGAGCTGTTTCTTGAGTTTGGCCAGCGAGGCCTCGTCCTTTGACTCCTGAGAGGAAAGATCCTGGAGCTCCGCCTCCAGCTGCTCCAGCTTCACGTTCAGCCCACAGAGCTCTACCTCCTTATCCTACAAGAGGAACCAAGTGATTAAGGTGGTGACATATAGACACACAAACACAGCTGCAGGTTCTTATCCTACATTAGGGATGCAAACATTTAACTAATCAATCGTAAACTGATAAATAAATTGTTCAATCAATGTTATCGGTTAAAGAAACAACAGATACAATTTGAACAGGTGGGTTTATCATTCAAGTTCAAATTCTTTAAATTGTTGTTTATTCTTGGAAATAAATGCAGCAGACGGTATGCTAACTAACAATCCAGAGCGGAAGGAAAGTCTTTATAAAAACAAATAAAAATACTAGTTGTTCAAATTGCTTTGAATATTTCAAATATCATATTTATTAATATCAAATTTTGTCAAATATGTGTTGTAGCTGTAATCATATCCAGTTCGAATACTTTAAATGCGGATACAGATGTATCTAAACTTGTGTATGCAATTAAAATGGGGGGACATAACATATACATTTTCCCCCATATATGTTCCTCCCCACATACGGTTCCTTTGCCCTTGCGTGAAGCACACGACTCACCTGCAGCTGCTGTCTGACTGTAAACACTTCTCCGGTCAGCACGTCTCTCTCTCTGGACAGCTTCTCCCGCTGAATCCTCTCTCTCTGCACTTCATCCTGAGCCTGGTTCTGCTCCAGATCAAACCTGTGCCACACATACACCAGTTCCTTTACTTATACATTTTACAGAGCCCGAATAAGAGCAGGAAATTACACGATCACCTCCAAAGGTGTCAGTGACATTGTTCCTCCTCAAAGAAACACATTTACAAAAGCAACCCAAACTCACCTAAGCTGCCTGACACAAGGTTAAAGAGAAGACATTTCATGATATTTCATCATTTCACGAGGAGTTTAGACATAAGATAATCCACTTGTATAAAGAAGAGTGAAAGTCAAAGGAAAATAAGTGAAAAAACAGGAGTTTCCAAAACTGAAGTTCAAAAAAAATATTAAAAGATACAGAGAAAATGGGACTCTCAACAACCACCCTGGAGGACCTGGCAGACCACCAAAACAGCCCCTATCAGATAAACAGCATTTAAAGCTTTAATTTGTGAGAGAGAGGAGAAAATCAAGCTCCACTCTTGCTTCAGATCTGAAAACACCCACGGCTCAGCTATAGCTGCTTTTTCCCACATCTCCGGCAGGAAACCTTTTCAAAAGTGGAATAGTTTCTCAATGTTTGTTTTTTTACGAGGCTGAAGTCAGCTTCTCATTCGCCAGCTTCTTGTTCAATTTGTCCTGTTCTACCCTAAATGATGCTTGCTGCATTTAAGGTACACAGGAAATTTGAACAGGAAGCTGGTAATGAGAAACTGACTTCAGCTTTGCGACTTTTTAGTGTTTGACAGTTTCTCGTTGCAGATTAAACGTATCAGGAAACCAGCTGGAGTGATTATGAATGCAAGTTTAATTTGTCTCCAAATTATCGATGTTCGTCTTAAATCTTTCTCTTTGCCGTTTCGTTAGCTACTAGCTAGGCAAGATTGTTATCATTGCTATGGAGACCAGCAGTCTGTGCGCCTTAAAGGGTGAATTATCAGTTCTACATTACCTCCAGCGTTTAAGACCATTTATTGTCAAAACTGTGTTGAACGATCAGAGTTTTATTTTTCTACAAAGCAGGATTATTTTATTTTTACCTAAAAATCTAATTCTGCTGTGGAGCCGTAACAGGGCAGTAAAAGAGCCACACGCAGCTCCGGAGCTGCATGTTGCTGACCCCTGACCTAAGAAAAGCTCAACCAGTTTGCACTGGATTCCCTGTAGTTACTGAATAATGAGCCTTAGTACGTAACAAGTCTGGGATTTTAAAGGGTTAAATGGGGGTCTTTGACTTCTGCACAGTACTGAATATCTGCCTATAGCATTGGTTATATTATTTGTTAGTTCCTTAAAATTGGTAGTGGTAGCAAAACGTCCACATCAGTCAGGCTCTAGTTTATTCCTAATAACAGAGTAGAACTACATGACCTCTTATATTGAAGAAAACCACACCATGTATTCTCCTCACAACACCTCATAAAAGAAAAGCCCTCACTAGAAAGGCTACGCTCTCTCTCCTTCTGGAGCATCACTCCGCAGTTGTTTTCATGTCAACCTCATTATCAGCGCTCACCTCTAACAGCGAGCTTTTAATTTAAAATTGATCACTAATCATGAGCACACTGCTCGACTCGACTGCCCGGGGAAGCATGCTCAAGATGGCTCATCTGTATGGTCGAAGTGGCACTTACGCTTGACCTCTGCCATCTTTCCTTTCATCCCTCCACTCCTGCCTAGAGATATTGAGTGGGATTGTTAGGCTTGAGGGACTCTCATGAAGCCCCCCTATTCAGAGCTCTTGAAACAGGACCGCGTCTGTCCATCCGCCTTCTGTAATGTGACTCCACTAAGGCTGAGACTATTGACTGTATTTGCAATTGAGTAATTTACCAATTATTTTTATAATTATTGAGTAGTAAGAGTTTTTGAAGGCAGAATGATTAAAATAGACAATAACAAACCATGCAATGTCTTTTAAAGATTATAAAATGTTTCAAAAGCCTTTAAAAGTCTTAATTAAAAAATATGAAAAAAGATTCTACTATGTCAGCTGCGTATTCTGATGTCCTTGCTTTTTGCACCCTTTTAGCTAGACGTCTAATTTTGATTCAGTGGAAAAGTCCCACTCCACCTTCATTTGAACGCTGGCTTAAAGATGTTGCCTCATTTCTTTACTTGGAAAAAATTAGACACACACTTAAAGGCGACGCGTCATTTTCTTCGCATATGGGGCCCCTTTTCTCCTTCTTCTCCGAGTTCAAGCAGTTTGACGTTCCCAGTATATCACAGTAATTAATTTAATTGTTAATCTTATTTATTTTTTTTTGTTTTATTTTATTTTATTATTAATTCCTTTATTTTTTTTTATTATATATATATTTTTTTCCCCTGTTAATATATAGTTGTGCATATGTTTCTGTATATATATATTATATGTAGGTATACATGTGGGTATGTATATGTGTATGTGTATTTTCCATTTATTTACTCATTTGACACTCAATGTTGTCTGGTGTGGCGACACAGGTGATGGGGTGGAAGTGGGTGGACGTTGGTGGGTTTGGGTGGGGGGGTGTCTGGTATGGGTTTATGTGGATTAATTCTCGGGAATAACCAACAAAATCTGTGCATGTATCTTGTCTCAGCTTTGTAAGCCTTTTCCTTTTTTCATACTCAATAAACAGAACGGTCAAAAAAAAATAAAATTATGAAAAAAAAACTATCAAAAATTGCATCTAAATAAAATTGTATGCAAAAGTCTTAACATCTCCGGTCAGATTACATTTTGCTGATTTTCTAAGTGAAAATAAGTCAACAAATTTTCTACTGAGGAAATTTAATTATGCCATTTTTTAGCAAATTGTAGTTTACAAATTTATTTATTTGCTAACATGTTGGAAAAACACACAATACAAAAGGTGCCATGACTTTTGCACATTTTTTGCCAAACGTCTGGTTTTTTTATCCTCAATATGTTAAATTGGGAAATAAACATTTCTGATTCTGATTACTGACTTTATTTTGAGTAATCAAGACAAGTCCTACACTTGAGAGAAGTCTTGAAATTGTACTTACACAAAAGATTTGGGTGACTACTGACTTCTAGTGTCTGTTAGCAACGTTAGCCTCATAGCTCCAGCCCTAAACTAATAGTGTCCTTGCTCATAGCATGTATGCCCTACGAATTTAAATTAGCGCCCTATATTCTCATTCATATTTAACATTCAAACTGAGAGACATCAGTAGGATCGATAGTATACATCCCCTCTGTGCAGACCCCTGCTGCTACATACATTTCAGAAAGCAGCTCCAACAAGCAGAAAGAGATACAACATCTGAATAGTGCATGAGACACTCGTAACTCACTTCCTCTGTTTCTTCTCCAGCTCGTGGTTGCGGCTCTGCTGTCCTTCCAGGTGCAGCTTGGTATCCTGGAGCTCAGCCATGAGTCTCTGACTCTTCTTTTTTGCCTGCTGCAGAGAGCGCTGGCTCTCCTCATAATCCGCCTGTAGGTCAGTTAGCTGTATGGACAGAGAGGACATAGCAAACATCAGTTTCATAGCATGGAAAAGTTGCGCTATGGAAGACTGTATTACTTAGAGTGAATGAAATAGCATTACTGAATCAATAGAGAAACAAATATGCTAAAGCATGGTGGCCTTCCCCTGCAGTGAGGCCCCCACTTTGCATGAACCCTACATAACACTGACATCGCAAGGCCATACGTCATATGCTGTTATGAGCTGTCATGACAGATCACAGTAATATAGCTGTGTCATGTGACTATTTCTGGTAATTGTCATGACAGATGTCGTAATGTTTGATGCAATGATAGTTTATATCATGCTACTTTATGCTGTTTAATCTAGTTAGCTGCCATGACATCGAACATTCTGGCATCTGTCATGATATTTACTGGTAACGGTAACATAACACCTCTGTATTAGAGGACATAATGACATCTGCCTTCACATGTTTATGCCGTGGTGCTGTCAATCTTATTTAGGGTTTAAGAAAAGTGTTACCACCTGATACAGGCAAGTCAAGCTCAACTGTACATCTTAACAAACTGCCTTCACAGTCTCAGGCTCAAAAGAAAGTCCCATTGGATGGGGTGGATGAGCTGGACAACCAAGTCCTGGGGCAGCAGTGACAGCATAGTGGATAACAGTCACCCAGCACACCGAAGAATAAAGGTTTTATCTCCCTTCAGCCAAGAACGCCACTGCTGTACCCATAACACCCTGTTCAGACTTTGTCTTAATTTTCATCTCGAGTGATTTAATTACACGAAAACAATGACTGTGTTTATATGCACTTAATAATCCGATCATAATCAGATTTCTGTAGTTATCTGATTATTCAAATGGTCATGTAAACAGCATACTCTGATTTCTTTGATCAGAGTAAGGTCTAGAAATCGGATTAAAATCCGATTTCAGCTCAGTAATCAGATTTCTCAGTGTACCCTTACTCTGATTTCTTTCGGATTTCTCAGTCTGCGCATGTGCGAAAACAGACCGCGGTACCGGAAATAAGCGAGATGGCAGCAAAACACTTTTCAAACGACGCTGAAACCAACTACATGCTTGACGAAATGAAGGATTTAAGTATTTTTCATCTTCTAGATGATGCTTGTTCATATTTTCAGGTAAAGTGGCGCGATTAAAAAAAAAAAGCCGTGGCATAAAGTTTGAGTTTTACATTATGTTTATGTCACGTCTTCTTCCGTGAGTTCATTGGCCAGCTGCAAAGCCGAAATCTGATTACTGCCTGACTTGTGTAGACCTAGAGTTTTCCCATTATCTGATTACCCAAGCGCATGTAAACGCGTTAAACAGATTACTGACAAAATTAGATTTTCTGCAGATATCGGATTATTAAGTGCATGTAAATGCACTCGGTGTTTCTACCTGGCATTTTCATATATCTTCAATACATCTACGGTGATCAGATTTAATGACTGGCAAAAGGGCGAAAAGGGTGCAGATTTACTATGTCAGACAAGAAAGTCCAGAGTCTTGTTCATGTACATGTGCAAGCTGTAACGATCGCTTCAACCACATAGACTGCTAACACAACAAATGGAAGAGGAGACGAAGAGCAAAGTTAAACAAAGCATAATAATATATGATGCTCTGTTGCTTTCGGGGATGCATTTGGACACTTTAGCGTTCACGCTACAAATGGGCTTTGTTCCAAAACACATTACAGACCAATTTCAGGAATTTTCATGACATATGTTGTTGGGAGTGGGCTTTACACAAGAAGAAACAATGCTATGTTACAATTAATAACACCTTTATTAGAGAAATAAAAATGTGTTTCTCATGATACATCTGCTGTTACTCTTTTCAAAAACTCATTACATTTAAAATAGTTAAAAATAGATTAACAGCGTTTTAGAATGAAACTCACAAAATGTTTTGTGACCTAATGAGTCACTAACCACTTGCAAAGGTGGTTTGAGTGGTCTGATTATAACAATGCATCTCCAAGACGCATTGGATCCCATTCACATCTGTACTTAGTGCTGTCCACATATTATCAGATCACCCAAGACATATGTTAGTGACAGATGTATTAGGGTCCTTGGGCTAGACTCCTAATGCTACATTCGTATACCATCGTATGTGAATAATTAAAAAAGGGATATATTTCAAAAGGGGGTCCCCACTTGCTTATGTTAATCTGTATGGAGTAGAGGTGCACAGCACAACTGACATTAAAGAAATGTTCTTCCACAAGTGGGCTGCAGTTACATGTGTCCACCACAAAACCCTCAAAACTTACGTAGTGCTGCTTAGAAGTCTTGCATTTACATTACAGCAAAGCCAAACGCCTAATTCTCTGACAAGTTTAGCTTACCAAGCATAGTTTTAGGCTAAATTTGTGCTTCAAAACACAGGTAATGTGCACAGGCAATGAATTCACTGTGCAGAGTGCTATGTAAGTTGTCTGAGATCTAGCACACAGTGAGTTGTATGGAGCCAGAAACCTACTTTTCTCTCTAGATGCCTCTTGTTCTGCTGCTCTGTCTCCAACTTGTCATCAAACTCCTGCTGTAATCGCTTCTTAGTGAACTCTGATTCTCTGATAGCTCTGTCGTACTTCAGCTTCCATTCACCTCCTGTAATGCATTCACACAAACAAAATCACAGATAATGACATCACTGCAGGCACCAACACGCTCAAACTTACTATTAGCCCTCAATAAACTAAACACCAAGTACAAAAGTTCATCTCCAACCTAGATTATCAGACTGTATCCTACCACCATTATCATCATCTCACAAAAGGAAGGAGGAAGACTTCCCCAGAGAGGAGTGGGTGTTATCTGACTGAACACTAAGCGTTTGCCTTCAAAACATCCCTAGAACCAGCCTGAGATGTGAAGCCCATTAGAGAATCCATGCCTCGGTGGATTTGTCAGACACCACAGAAAGTGTCCATTTCCTTACTCTTTTACAGATGTTCGTTTGCGCATACAGAGTGTATACACAGAGAAATGACAGCTTTTTATGATATGGAGCTCTGATTCTTCTGACAGTTCTCCCTGAATGGGAAAAGGCCAAGCAGCACTTAACAACATTACAACAGTAACACTCCTGTCAGAAATGCTGTATATTCAAGCCTACAGATGAGCCCATTTATTATGCCTTTATAGCTAGAGAAACATCTGACTTCTTAAGAAATATTTTAATTTTCTCATCTTTTTATTTTTTTCACTGAAGTCCATGAATGTTCATGTAGTTTTAAGTACCAAAAACAGTCATAATTCAGTTTTAGCTTCATCACTTTCCAACCTCTCTTAGAATTAAACAGACTATATTTGTTACTGAGCCATTAAGTTTGGTCAAATTATGTGTTTTGTTGATTTTCTAAGTAAGTTAACATATTCTCTACAGGACTTAAATATTCATTTATTCTGTGCACCATTGCTAATTATTTGCTAAGTTTAACATGAAACATAAAATATAAAATGACTGTATATATCAAAAATATAAAGCAATTATTACTTCAGTATCCACTAACACTGGCAGTGGTGCTAGCATTGCCCTCTACCATTACCTTCCACATATTTAGGTAGTATGATTTTTTTTTTCCTCTTTTGGCAACTCCTCCTCACGTATCACGTGATTCGCTGTTTACCATAAACGTCACGTTTTCATGTGTGCGTTAGGATTAATCTACATCTAAATGTATCTAAACCTGATTTAACAGAGAAAGTTATTAACCTCCATTGCAATGCAGGTGTTTATGATTTGTGAAGACGAAACTTAGTCATTTATTACCAGCTTCATCATCGTCGTCATCCATCTCTCCGTTGAGCTCCGACGCCCTGATGAGCCGCGCCTCCATCACTTCCATCTCCATAGACTCCATCTGCTTTTTCATCGCATCAAACTTTGCCTGGATTCAGAGCCAAAACACGCAGCATAATAGAACATCTCATATCTACAGACAACATCATTACAACAGAGCAATTGTCCTCTGTAACTTTGTCACACTAGCTTGAAACATTTATTCAGTGATGCTTTGCAGAAGCAATTTCGAGGACATTACTTTGAGTACATTATTGCAAGTATAATGTCAGCTTTGTTGCCTTGGAGCTCTAAAGCTAATAAGCAGAGTTCCACTGTGCTGCCCTGAAACGGTACCCTCTGCAGTGAAAGTCAGTAAGTGTGGTCGAAATGGAGAGTCGAAGGCCTGCATTGCCCAGTCATTACCTGCAGCTCCTTCATGTCCTTCTCCAGGCGCAGTCTCTCTGCCGTCTCGGTCTCCAGCAGCTGGGACGCGGACTCTCCGGTGTTCCTCTCATCCGTGAGCTCCGTCGACAGCTCTGTGATCTGGAGGCACCAGCATAAACATGCTCCTCAGTCACAATAACATAGTCCTGCTCAGTCACATTCAATCATCTACTCCCCTCTGCCATTTGCAAAATAAGCAGCTTTGGTCACTCCTGATATGGACTTTGAAGGAAACATGCGTCAAACTATGAAGCTGCAAAACTATAACCCTATAAAAGCTGCACTGAACTATAAGGCTGGGTTATGTGGTCACGTAAAAGCAACTTCAATTGATGACATCAAATGATATGTCAACTCTTCCAGTCGCCATACAGAAAGTTTCAAGGTCCTCCTCGTTTGATTTTAGGCGAGGTTCGTAAGCAGTCTTTTTATTTGTTCGATTTTTTTCCCGACTTTGTGGCCGATTTAGTTGTGTCCGATTCCACCTGCTAGCTACGTCTCGCTCTATCACATGATGCTACCGAGCTAGGAGGGTGAAAGCTAGCATGTGCTTCCTCTGAGAAACGTGAAGCACCACCATATCTTTTTAAACTGCCACTAACACAACGTCATTGGACAGCTCAACACTCCTGGACAAAAAAGCTGAAGGCCGTCACACACCGGACGTGCCACGTCGCGTACTGTAGCGCCACATAGCAGAATGCTGCTACAGAATGCTGGCAGAGAGAGTCCAAAAACGCCAGTTGCAAGTTCATTTTTACACTCTAGTCACACAAATTACATGAAATAATTGCTTTTTTTATGTTTTGCATCTTCACAAACTGGCTGTTTTTGAACTGAAAGATATGAGCTGAAAAGGCTAGACTTAGCGTTAGCTGAGGTAACTTTATCTAAAAGACTGACCACCTTCCTCTGTGTAAATTTCGCCACATGTGGTCTGCTGTGGCTGTCTGTGGTTTCAATATGGCTTGAACTTAATGTAGTAATTCTGTGTGGTGCATTGTGATGCGGTGTGCGACAGCCTTAACTGCCAATTCTGTTCCCTCAGCTAACAGTTGCCTACATTGGCTAGTAACACACTGAGTGTTTGGGGTAGACAGTCATCCTACCCACCCAGAGAGAGTGAGGCCAAGTATGCTCTCTTGGACTGCTAGCCACGGATGGCTGTGGCACCGTTGGGGACTGAACTCATGTTCATCTCTCAACAGTAGGGCCAACGCTTTAACGGCCTCACACTTAACAAATATCATTGCTTATTTACTAGTAACCAACCTTGACCAACTAGCTTGTTAGCCAACTAACATTAATACAGCAGCTGTATGAACAGCTGCTTGTGCCCGCCTCTGTTCTGCTTTGTTAGCCTGCTGTATCACAACTACATTACTATGTAGCTACTAAACCTGCTAACTAGTGGACCAATCAAATGGACTACATGCGACTCTGATTATTCTTTAAACCCTCAGATTCAAAATGATTTTGTTGATGTTCTTTCATTTGTTCCCTTTGAAACTGTTTTTAGGAAAGTAATTTAACCTTACAAAGTAATATGTATTATAATGTAATAGAATAAGGCTATAAATATAGGGATGCTTGCAAAACCCTGCATTTTTTTTGCATTCCCTGTCTCAAAACAGCTGATGCTTTTCATAACCTGCTTGCTGATTACCTTTTGAGCTGGATCAGATGTTCTGGGGTGAAAAAAAGTGAAAATATTTGGGACGGGGGGTCTGCATGAGGAAGGAGAGGTGGACACATTGACTGTAATGGAGGCCGTTTTGTGAGTAATGCTACAAAGTGGTGAAAACTATGGCCAATGGTTGCAAAAATGCTTAGAATTTGTGTTTGCACATTTTTTATTTGTTATGTTGTTTTTTCAGCAGTAAACACATCAGGAAAAGAAGACTGCCGAAATTCCACTACTTGAAAGACCAGCTTTGTTCCAAAAAACAGAGCAAGGGCATCAATAGGAGGCAGATATGTTGCTTGACTTTGATATGCTGTGGAATTCAGAATATCTTTTTTCACCACCAATGATGCTATGATACAGTTTAGCGAGTGGACTGCTGAGATGTGCTGTTTTAATGATGTGAAGTCAGAAGAAGGAACAAACAGAGTGCATTAAGCAGTGGTTGCTATTAGGGATGCGCATTTCAGTCAAATGTGATATTCCTTTTTTGAGTACTTATTTGAAAAATAAGCACCCGACACATTAGGAGGCAGTGACCAGAGACACTGACACTACTCAGCATCTTACTATTAGTGTACTATATTAAGCCAAATCCATAGCAGGTGATGTGGCTTGAAATTTACACCAAAAGTTGTTAATCTAAAGCCTTCTCGATTAAATTTTAATAATCTGTTCTCACCTCAGCTAATGTTATTAATGTAGCCACATCATATTTGACCTTGTACCTTTCAGCTGAAAAACAGCAAGTTAGTGAAGAGTGATTAGGTGATGCTAAACCTGATAAACTCATTATATTTTGTTGAAATTTTTACTCTATTAAATTTACATGAGTGAAGTGTAAAATGAGACTGAGATTTATGTTTATAGCCGTTTTTCTGCGACACGTACTATGTACTATTAGCTACATGCTACTTATCCACTACCCTGCACTAGAGACCCTCTGCCAGGGCAGCAAGGAGCTTCTCGTCTAGTGCGCTGGCTGCAGTAGTCTTTTTTAGACTAAGCGGTTAAGAAACTCTGACGCTGGCTCTACACTGCCCTCTGGTGGAGGGATAGACCTTAGAGATATCATGGTACATGAAAATTACGTTAGAGCCAAGCTTATTTGCTTTTTAAAATCTTAATTACACTTAATTCCACTTTCATGTAACTCATAACCTGCAACAAGCTGCATAAAAGTTTCACCATGGAAAACGCCATTCCTCTTACCCTGCTCTCCAGCCGATCTGTGTTCAGCCTGAGCTCGTTCCTCTCCTTCTCTACCTTCTCGAGCTTCATTCTCAGATTCTGGATCTCCTCCTGCAATTCCAAACAGCACATGTTACATCTCAGCTGAGATACACTTCACCACACCGGCTGTCAAGAGTGTGTAATGTAGTGGAGGCAGCAACTAAAGCAGACACATAGGACCTTTGACCCAAGCATCTTTTCAGCTGGACAAAGAACAATAAACTTTGACAGATAAGCCTGACCTGATCAAAGCCCCCCACACCCCCCACACTTCCTTCTTCAGATGACATCACCTCAACCGCCAGCTGAAGGCCCTGTTTCATCATGTGGTTCTGGCTGAATTCAGACTACTGTTCAAATAGGAGCGTGCCGCTGGGAAAACTCGCCTAATGCAAACAACCTCCCACCAGCGGACTTTCAGGCCCGGATGGCTTTGAGCGCAGTTCGGGATCGGGACGTCGGGGGAGCCGAAATCAAAGAGATGTCTTCGCTCCCGGCCTGATCTGACACGAAAGCTGTTAGATTACATCAACCCCAAAGCAAACAGCGAGGAATGCGCACCACGTAGGCGAACAGAGAGGGTGGAAGGGGGGTGTCTGCATCTTTCTAGTCATCACTAGAGCTGAAGGCTCTGTTCATACCTGGTGTCTGGCAGGCAGATAGCTTGAAAGAAGCTTCAGATACCTGGCCCACAGGTCTGGAGAATGACAGTGCGGGAATAACGATAATAGAGACTGACAGACAAAAAGGCACACAGACGAATAGAAAGATGGACTCACATCTTTGCCTCGGATCTGCTCCTCAGTCAGCTGCACTTCGACGAGAGGACGCACATTGGTGAAGAGCTTCCACCAGGGCCAGCCCTTCACGCCCCGGTTCTTCTTGATGTTCTTCTGGATGCAGCGGATGGCCAGGTCCTGCACCTGTTCAGCATCAGAAGAGAGACAAAGAGAGAGAGAGAGACCGAGAGAGAAGGGAGTTTATGGGTGGATCTGCAGCCGGTGGCCTGACTGAGCTCTTTTTTGCACTGCAGAGAGGGAGCTCCACTGCTGCAGAGGCACTGCAACATACTGATAGAAGGGTTTGCACTGCTAAGGAATGGGTTACTAATGATAACCGATATTTAACACCTTGAGAATAATACAATAATAAATGAGGATGCACCAAAATGTCAGCCACCAAAAGTCTGGGACAAGTAAAATGTGGATGTACTTGTCCATAGGAAGTGTCTCTAAAAAAGCATAACGTCAAGTCATGATATATGTACACTATAATCTATATGTACAGTGAGCATACTCTAAAAATCCTAGGCCAGGGGTCAGCAACGTGCATCTCTTTTACTGCCCTGTTGCGGCTCCACAGCAGAACCAGATTGTTAGGTAATAATAAAATAATCCCCTTTGCAGTAAAATAAAGCTCTGCTGATCATTTTAACATAGTTTTAACAAGAAATGCTAATTTACCCTATAACCCTGAAGGTTGGCTAGCAGACTGCTGGTCACCATAGCAATGACAACAGTCTTGCCTAGCTAGTAGTTAACGAAAAGGCAAAGAGAGAGATTTAAGGCAAACATCTGATAATTTGGAAAGGAATGGACTCATTTGCAATTATAAGATCTCGGCTGCTTTCCTGTTATGTTTAATTTGCAATGAGAAACTGTTAACAAGTCGCAAAGCTGTAGTCAGCTTCTCGTCTGCCAGCTTCTCATTTGAATTGTCCCGTTCCACCTTAAATGGTGCAGCAGTTACATTCTGGTGCCTCAAGCACCATTTAAGGTGGAACGGGAAAATTCGAACAAGAAGCTGGTGAATGAGAAGCTGATTTCAGCCTCATAAAACCTCAAATGTTGACAGACATTTTAGAAAAACTGTTCTGCTTTTGCAGAAAAGTTTCCTGCTGGAGATGTGAGAAAAGTGGCTGTAGCTGAGCTAAAGATTAAAGCAGAGCAAAGTCTGTGTTTTCATTTATATTTTTTAGCCTATACTAGCACATCAGCACATAATGAGATACATTTACAGCCAAAATGGTAAAATGGACATAAAATGTTGTGACTCCCAAGGTGGTTTAATTTCTATTGAAAAAACAAAATGGCTCTTAACATTTGGGTTGCCGACCCCAGTGCTAGGCCATTTAGGTTATATAGATCACCGAGATGAGTTTTCATAGACGAGTGGTTTTGAAAGCCCTTTTATGTAGCATGTTGCTTAAACTCCACCCCTCCACCCACCCTGCCCCTGAAACAGTTCAGAAACTGCCCTGCAAACTATAATGTATTTGTCCTCTGCTAAACATGCCTGCATCACTGATGTTTTCACTCTTTAGCATCAGAGTGGGACTATAGTTATCAGCAATAATTTCCATATCAGACCACCAAAGAGACCGGAGACCATAGACCATTACATTGAAGCCCCAACAACTAAATACAATCACATTTTCCAATATTTAGTGTCTCCACTCTTTGCCTTTACTACAGCTTCCATTCTTTTCAGAAGACTTTCAGTTTTGCAAAGAAATCTGCAGGGATGTTTTTCCACACCTCCAAAGTTCAGTCTTAGAAGTTGGTTGCACTTTCTGCTACAACCCAAGTCGTGACAGTTTTGGTTTTGATGGAACTTTCAGCTTTTTTTAGTTATTTTTCATTGACTTGTAACTTGAATTATCTCCTCAGAAATGTCTCTCGAAGAATGAATCAATAAATGATGAAGGAATTAATCAATTCTGTCTTTTGCACAGTACGATACTGTGATAGATACTGTGATAGTGCATTCCTAGCTGATTTGCTCTTCATCTACAGTGATGTAATCCTGTAGATAAACAGCAATAGGTCCACTAAAAAACAGGCGAAATAACACATTTCACATAAGATGCAGGTAATATAAGTGTAGGCACTCTTTTACACTTGTCTTGGAAAGATATTTGAAAAGTTTTCAAGGACAAAATACTCACTAAACAGAAAGCAAAAAGCCACGTCTACGAAACGGAAATGTTTAGCAAAATGCGAGTGTGTTATGTCTGAGCACTTGTTTGTGTTTATCTGTGGGGTTTTTTTGTCCGTGTTGTATCAACTGGCAGACAAAATCCATCAGCTTTTCAGAAGGAAAACACACAGAAAGGCTGGGAGCTCTTCTGATTAATTAAATCAAACATCAGTACGTCTTGGCAGACAGCTAAAGCATTTTGCAGCATTTACACGTCGCTTGTACGCCGGCATCTCTAGTAGCAACCGATTTTGTGAAAACCCAATTAAAGCGGCACACTGCTAAGCATCAAGTGGATTTTGCCCCGAAGGAAGCCTGTTCGGCCAATTACAATTTGTCACAGCATGAAAGGCTAGAAACACGCTTACACGCACACACATAATCTCACGCGCGCAGAGCGAGTCAAGGCGAGACAAGGCTGGAGAGCATCTCTAACGGGCCTTGGTTGTGATGTCTGGTAAATAATAAACAAAGCCGACAGCAGCCTAAACAGATTGCAGGACAGGCCAGGCAGGCTTTGTAATCAAAAGCAATCCACTCTGCAACAGACTTCAGCCCAACATCGTGGGCAAAAGGGCTCTAATCAGACAAAAGTAGGGGTACAAATCTCTGATCTCACAATTTGATCATTTTGGTCAGAATTTTGAAATAATGAATGCACAAATGTAACTGGAGGAGCTGGAATACAGACATTAAAATAAAAAAAAAAAAAGACTTTTATTTTGGAAAAATGCACATACGTACTTAAGTGTGGCACAGATATCCATATCTATATGGATATTTATGCATATCCTACCTTATCCTCTCTCTGTCTCTGTCTCTCTCTCTCTCTCTCACTCTCTCTTTAACAATTAACAGGAGTCTATGTTATGAATGTGGGCTGGTGAGCTGGTGTTTTATATTGTTATTGTATTGTATTGTTAAAAACTTTAAATTTGAAAAAATAACATAAAAATCTCAAAGTTATTTGAAAGTTTTCAAGTGGGACGGCCAAAGGCCCCCACAAAGCTACATGCCTGGTGTGCTCTTGCACACTCTTGCATGTTCATTTTAGAAATGGAACACACTTATTGGAAACCACATGAACATGCACACAAGTTACCGTATACAAAACCACAACAGTGAACTTTGGAATAGGCCACTGCTTGTCTTTTTGACAATCCGCACCGCTCACTTCCAGACAGCGATGCCGGCAACCATTTGACATGCATCTTTTTTTGCTTGAAGTATACTGCTGACCAAGGATGGACACCACCTGGTTGTCTCCTGGACACCACCTAGTTTTGAGAACTATCAAATCTACCGATCACAGATTCGGTAGTTCTGAAAATTAGGTTGTCTCCAGGAGACAAGCAGCAGACCTCAGACACCTTTTCTGCTCTCATCTCTAAAGACACAGTTTCTCCTCTGTGTGCATGTCAGAATCAGTAGGGGAGAGCATGTCCAGAACATGGTGTTCGTAAAGAAAAACTAGGCCAAGTACCTTCTCCTCTCTGTGTTAGGTATAAATACAGGGGAGAAAAGCAAAAAAATAGTATGAAAAATCCCCCCATCACTGATTCAAGAGAGAGGGCACTGAGGACTTCTGCTGTTGAAGAATAATCAAACTGCACGGACTGAAAGACACACAGGAAAAACAAAAAGGTTTCACCCTCTCAGCTGCGAGCCTTCCAAGTGCCTCGCCTCTTTTGATCTCTGTATTGAGCCAAAGAAGCATGCTGACATCACTTTAGCGATTCCTAATCTAACACTGTGTATTTTATCCAGGCTATCAGTTACTTGGTTACTCTTTCAAATAAGAAAGCCATTACATTAATTAACTTTATGTTAGGATGAAAAAGTTTTCATAGGAAAGTTTTCAATGGGAACATACACAACGGAGAATAATAATGTGTAGTTATGCGACTGATGTGCTATCTACGATAACAGGACATTATAGCATTCACAGAATGGACATTTTCACACAACTTTTACTTGTTTATGAACATAAAAGGAATATTATTCACACTTCTATATACGACACAGTGAAAAATCTAACACTATATTACAGCAGCGGCAGTGCTTATGAATGATAGAGGACTCAAATATTTTTACATCCTTATTAATGTATTTACCACATTTTTTCACAAGACATGTTCGTTTGGTGAAGCAGCAAGCAACAACATCCCTGAAAAAGACATCATCTAGATGGCAGCATATGCTGCTTAGAAATGCTTATGTACCCCTCAGCACTAATGGTGCCTTCACAGATGTGCAAGTTACCCATTAACACACTCCCATGCCATGACAGACGCTGGCTTGGTAACAACTGAAACGGTCCTCTTCCTCTTTGGCCTGGAGAACACAACGTCCATTATTTGAAAGGTCAGACCACAGCACGCATTTCCACTTTGTGTCAGTCCACAGTCATCTCAGATAAGCTTCAGCCCACAGAAGTTGGCAGTGTTTCTTGATGTTGTTGATATATGGCTTGAGTTTTGCACAGCAGAGTCTTAACTTGCATTTGCTGATGTAGTGATAAACCGTGTTAACTGACAAGGGTTTTCTGAAGTATTCCCGAGCCCATGTGGTGACATTCATTTTTCAGCCTTGCCCTTTTCAGACAGAGATGTCTGTAGATGCTCTGAATTTTTTATCATAATGTCACAGACTATAGATGGTGAAGTCCCTAAATTCCTAGCAATCATGTGCAGAAAAATGTTGTTCTTAAACTGTTGGACTGTTCGCTCAAACAGTAGCTAAATGCTCCTTTTATACCTAATAACGATAGCCACACCTGTCATCTATTCACCTATGGAAAGTTCCAAAATAGGTGTTTTTGATCATTCTGCAAACTTTTTTGGAATGTGCTGCAAATTTGGAATTAGCATATATTAACAAAAACCAATAAAAGTTGATAAGGTAACTAATTAACATGATCATTTACTTTACACAAATCAAGCAACACAACTGCCACACGGAACCCTGAGGCCGGTCCACACAGTTTCCAGGTTCAGCTAGTTTTTATGGAACGTTTAGTGGAACAACCTGTATTCACATAGTGGGAACCTCATTCATAATATCACATAACAATACAGACATAGCACATTGCTAACCACCCTAGTTAGGCCTTGACAGCTACTGAGAGAAATACAGTGGCTGTAAGTGAATCTACCTTAGGTCAAAGCATTCCACACATATCTAGATCAATAAACCATATGCTCTCCTCTCTTATTACAAACACCTGAAGCAAGCATCCATCACCATAATAGACTCCTCTATGCATCCCTATAGTCTGGCCCTTCCCCACCCGTAAAAGCTTCCACTCCAGGCCTACCTCCTCAATGAAGAATAGCTTCTGCACATCTTTGTTCTCTCCCTGTGTCCCTATTCCAACTCCAAGCACATTACTCACAAGCTACTTGCACATTGCCACAAAGGGGAAAGGAACACAGATAATAGAAATATCAATAAAGGGGGAAATTACTTAAAGGAAGAAAAAAAAAACTCCCTGAAAAGCATACAAAGAAATAAATCCACTACAAAGCAATTTCCCGATGTTGTCCGTGGTCTGTGCACTCTCCCTGGGCTGTAGCAAATGCAATGTAACTGATAGCACTACTCAGAGTCTTGTGTAACCACAAAATCCACCGTAATATCTGGTTTCAGACCCTCCAGGGTCAGAGATTCCCTGCTTCTCGGCTGCAGCAGAAGTTCATTTCAGGGTAGAATTCCTATAAAACCTCTGAGAAACTTTTCATTGGACCAACCAAAAGACACTTCCAGTCAATCAACCAAGCAATCACCGAATGGGGGGCTCCCAAGCATCTAACGTCTGGACCACACTACAGGGCTGATTTTGAGGCCGACTCGCCCCTCCCGACAATTGCAGAAGGTGTCCGACTTCAAACAAGAAACTTGCCACGAAAGAAAAGCTTTGAGCAAGGCCAGAGTGTCCAGGGCCTAAAAGGCCACAGGAGCCATAAATTCAACTCTCCTCAACATCTGAACACCATTAACAACACTGTGACCAATGCGCTTATGTTTGGAATGAAGTCCCGCACTTCACCATGATCTGAGCACCTGCGTCCTTGATGTTCATTATGATGTGATGACTGGCCAGCAAAATGCTCAACTGTAGCAGAGATCCATGAAACAGAGCTGAGACTATCAGGATCTGTACGTAAGAAGCACTTGATAAAAGATGGCCAGGTGCCATTTTGAAGTGAGAGATCGATAACGGGGGCTGAGGAGCTGCCGTGTGATGGACGCCTCTTTTGGCAGGTTGGCCAATCAGGCTGTGATTGAAGCGCATGTGTCAGGCATTTGAAGTTAATCCAGATGGATGCTGGATGCATCAGGCCCAGAAAGCTGGGGAGCGGATGATCCGATTTAGAAACACTTTATATGAAGTGTTCCAGCTCCCAGCTCTGCTTTATAACAGCATAAAAATACCAACACGAGTTACAGCAAATAATAAAGGAGAATGCTCCATAATAAAATAAGGGAAAAAACACTGTAAAGCAGCATTTATAATGCTACATGACACCTACACTCTTAACAAAGATGGTGCTTCAAGGGTTCTGTAGTGAAAAAATGGAGAATGTGCTGTAGATGGTTCTTTATAGAACCTTTTGAAAAAGGGTACCATGTAGCAACAGAAAAGGTTTCCTCTACTATGATGAGCTTGACAAACCCTTTTTGGTGCTACCCCTTTCAAAAAGGTTCTATATAGAACCATATACCACACATTCTCCATCATTCTTAAGAACCCTTCCACGATGCAAAAAAAAACCCTTTAATCATACAGATTCTTTGAGTGTTCATGGTTCTATATAGAACCATTTTCTTTACTAAAAATCTTTGAGGAACCATCATTTTTAATGTGTACAAAAGCCTTTCACGACAACTGACTTAATTTATAGAGGCTTAGTTCAACAAAGCACCAGTTGTCATATGGGCTGCTTTTGTCCATTATGGTGTCATTCCACCTCAACAAGTGCTACGACAACAGATGCTAGTTTATTTATAAAATGGATAGTTCCGGTCCTAAAATCTGATTGGCTGAGCCCCGTTCATAGCAGTTAAATCCACCATATTCCCTGCACCTATGACCGCCTCACAACAACTGAATTGTGTATTACTGCGCCACGGCACAACAAAAAAAAAACACTTTGTGCTGTTAATGGAATAATCTTTGAGTCTAATGCTGCTCTCATGCACTACTGAGTATATTGATGAAGTAAAAACCCATTTTCTTGTTTAAACGTAGGGGCTGGCAACTTATATTCTTAACTAGAACTAGGCTGGTCAGCTGGCTAACAGGCTACAAAGATAGCTAACAGCTCAAACAACTAGATTATTAATATTACAAACTTTAATCAAAGTACTTACAGTATAATTAACTGTAAAACAGCAGTATAAAAGTCTAAAAATGTCACTTGAATGTGTTACACACTTTGAATGTTCATGTTTCAGTCAGAAGTCGCGTCAAACCCAGGCTGAATCCCAAATGGCTCCGTACTCACTAAATAGCGTGCTAACTATGAAAGTTTAGAAATTCTAGTCTCAACAGCCAAACAGTGCATCATTCATCAAGTATGGATGCGTCTGAATCCCAAATGACTATTTCTTAGCTGTGTTTTGCACAGTTGAGGTTTTCAGGATCCAGTATTTAAATTCCTACGTAGTGCACTATGTAGGGAGCAGGGAGCTGTTTGAGATTCAGCCCCAGCACGAGAAGTGGGGCGCTGCTGGATTGGTGCTAAATGAGACTCGCGGTGGCAATTTGGTGATCAAAAAGTACATATAAAGCAAACGTTTTCTGCATGAACAGTTATGTGTTATCATATGTTCATTGCTGTATGACAAAAAGTAAAAAAATGAATGAAATGACCATGATATACAGCAATGGGGATACAGCAAACGTTCTCCTCATTCAGCGGTCCACGGTTGCTTGGCAACAATACCATACTCTAAAGGAACTACTTTTATTGGCAGAATACTTGTTTTTGTTGATTATAAAAAAAAATACAAATTATTTTCTGAACAATTGTGTATTTCATTATATTTCATGTTGGCCATCGTTTTATAAAAGGAATATGCCATGAGAGGCCATGCGTTACTGCGATTTTATCACAGGGAAGGGAGTTTTAGGCACTCCTCTTCATATCGTGCCTAACAACACCCTACCAGTGATAAAATCACAGTAACACAGCCTCTCGTGGCTTATTGCTTTTATAAGCAACTGACTAAATAAGGACCAACAATGTTCATGGGTTAAACTAATAAATTCTTTCCTTTCAAGCCTGACGTTTGAGACTTTGCATGAGAGTTTTTGCTACAGTCCTGCACGGTCATTACTGCAATGTTGTTCTCCTGCAGCTTGCAGCAGCGTCAGCTTTGATAGAGCATCAAACTGAAAATCTTTCTTCACAGAGAAATCTTCAGTCTGATGGACAGAAGTGCTGTGCAGTTCATGTCGTGTTTAAAGGAAAGAGACAACTCAAAATGGCTAGCATATAGCTTGGGTAGCTGGCATGCTAGCTAGTGCAGTAGCTAATCAAGCTGAAGTTTTAGTAAGTTACAGATCACAATCCCTTAAAACTTAATGAAGCTTCAGCTGGGTTAGCTATTGTGCTAGCTAGCTAGCATTGTTGCGATACAAACTACACAATAACCAACCATGTCAGGTTTGCCTCTTGTGGTGCTTCAGTTCCGTCCCTCAGACTTATGTTTTTCTATGATGAAAGGCTCGTTGTTTGAAGCCGTGTTAAACCTGACATGTTTTTAGTTGATTTACTTTTGGGTCACTTTACACTTTAGACTGGACTTTGACTCACGTGAAGCAACTTTTGAACATCTATGGCTGTTAATTTATCCAATAATAACCACTACAGTGTGGACTGAAATACTATAAGCCACGAGAACGTATTTTAAGATGTTTTAGTCAATATTTCAAGCTTATTTTGGGCATTAGACATCATTTAACAATAATATACTATAATTATCTATTTACAGCAATTTACAGCAATCTATTTACAGTAAAATTATCTGCCTCAAGATTTGATCACCACTTTTCCTAGTAAGAGGCATTATGGATGTAAATTTCATTCTAACTTCATTCTTTCGATGCGATACAGCTTCCTCAGTTACTATGGAATCATCTACAGCTGTGCTTATCATTACGGACACTTGATTTTTAGTGTTTTGTACAAAACAGTTGAAAGTTGCGGAGGGCAAGGAGCATTTTGTACATGTACCTGCCACACAGTGAAAAACAGCGATTGTAAAGTTTTGAAAGGCAGAGTTAATCAAATGTATTTGCTTTATTTACTATGTACTCCGGACCTCTAAGAGTTAATCTATATTAATTTTACAGGATTTGATTCCATGTAATTTTGCACCATTTCTATTGGTCCATTCGTCATGTAAAAGCTGGTGTTTTCAAACAGAGTAAAAACAATTTAAGGTGCTGTAAGATTTAATAGGATGGTGATGATAAGGCTGCTGTAAGTGGGTGAGGATTTGGAAAGCTGCCAGTGAGCAGTGTACCTTTCTCTTCTTGAAGGCCTGGCGGGACAGGTATCCCCTGCAGGCGGCCTGGAACAGCGTGATGTTTCGTCTGGTCTGCTCATCCCTCTGCTCCTCGAGTTTAGCCAAAGTCCCCGCTCTGAAGAACACCTACAACAGGTACAATAAGAATTTGAAAAACAGTTTAATTGGATTTTATTTGTCAAAACTCTGAAGTGTATGAATGTATACATGAGTCCATTCTAGACACAAAACACAGAAACTGGACATCTGAGATGTGGAGAACGGTTTTATATACTGATGAGTCCAAATGTGTGTTTGGGACTATTTGGATTGTGAGAAGCAGAAAAGACAACCAACTTCTAAGACTGAACTTCGGAGGTGTGGAAAAATATCCCTGCAGACAATAAATAAAGGGACTTTTGCACAGTACTGCATAGCCTCTCCCACAATGTGAACATTTGAAGAAAAACTGTGCAGCACTTTCAACAGCATTATAAACATAATATTTGAGTCAGTTCTGGTAATTAATCATAAAAATTTCTGCTAAAAAAGCTGTCATTAAAATACAATGAATCAGATTTCTATACGAATACACCTCGCCTTATCATTGCTCATCACTGTTCAAAAAATATTTCTGATTAAAGGGGAAATTCAACTACATTTCTGCTTAATTATTAAGTTGTAAAAGTCAGAAAGCTACTCTGCAGAAGCTATTACAGAATAATGGTCCCTAACTTCATTATCTTATTCAAACTCCAGATAAGAAAACAGTATTACAGAAACATCCTAGACTATTTCCTAAATACTGCTCTAGAGGTGTCTTAACTTCTGTTTTAACCGCCTGTTTTTCGGTAGCTGTGACAGACAGCACAGTTCATTATAAATATAACAGCATAATGATGTTACATCTCGCTGCTGTCGGAGCAAAACCTTGTATCACAATTTTGTAGTTTTTCAGTTTTGGACATAATCTGAAAGTGCCTACTGTTCTTTATATTGTGGGTAAATTTCACAATGAATGGACCAAAAAAAGACCCAAAATGGCTTGGAAAAAAGTCTGGTTCCATTGACTTACATTAATAGTAACATATGTTTTTTCCTTCTCCTGTAAAGTTACCATTTTGGAGACACAAGGTTTTGTTGCGACAGCAGCGATTTATCTACATTGCAATATAGTTTCAAATCCCAGCATTCTCTGTAATTTGAAGTCCCAGACACTGCAGACATGATCTCCACCACCCCCAATGAGATAAAATATTACAGTGCTGGTGGTGAAAAGTGTATAGACAGAGCTGAACGTGCAGAATAGAACTGTTTATAACGTGTTCGTTCCTAAATTCGGTCCTAACTGAACTTGTCGTAGTGACTTATCAGATAAGATTTCAGTGTTAGGATGTTTCTTCACCACCACTGTACAGAAGTGCAAGCGGGTAAGTTCTTCTGCAGTGCACTACTGCACTCCAAACCACTCTGAATGACTTTGTTGAATTATAAATACAGACAATTTGAAAAGTATGTGGAATTTGGCTTTAAGAGAACATTAAAGAGAACTTTTTGAAAGTGTTGTGAGTGTGCTAAGACTACGAGATCACTGCTGTCTTGCTATTTCAGTATTAAGAGAAAGAATGAGAAAACAAAGAGACTGAAGTTGCAGTGAAGATGAGAGGTTTAAGACGTGTGAATCAAGTGGAAAACACTCGATCAGGTGAAACAGTGGGACTCAGGAAGCACACAGCTGACTTGGCAAGGGAATATCAGGGTGCAAACCGGAACAAAACGAGCAAATCAATGAGCTTTTAAAGCATATTACAGCCTCATCTCTTATTGTAAGTGATTATCTCAGGAGGAGAGCAGTGGCAGAATTGCTGACAGTAGAAGATCTCCGGGTCTGCCTGGTCGCCATTCTGCAGGGCTGCTTCTGCCACAATGCACTGAGAAAACTTTGTGACTTAAAATAATATTCCAGCTTTTTTCAACCTAATCTTTATCTGATGCATCTGTAGCAGATTGAAGCCCATTCCTGCCAGATAGATGAGAAAAACTGAGCAGTATATCAAAATAATGACTTACTTTCTCAAAATTTTGAATGATCATCTCAAAATAGTGACATTTTTGGTAACACTTTCTATGAATGTCGCATTTGTAAGCATCTATAAACACATTTATAACATGTTATAATGCATAAGTCATTATAAACATGGTTATAAACATTTATAAAAATGAATTACACTGAATTACACTTCATAGCCATGTTTATTATACATTATGAATTGTTAATATAATGCATTATAAATAGTGTTAATATTACTTGCGTTACTGCTATAACGTATAGTGCATTTTTATAACTATTTATAGCTAAGTTTATAATGTCTTATGAATGCATTATAACATGTTATGAATGTGTTTACAGATGCTTAAAAAGGTGACATTCATAGGAAGTGTTACCACATTTTTTTCTAAATGTTCCACTAGTCTCAAAATAATGACTTGCTTTGTGAATATAGACACAGTATCTCAACCAATGACGTATTTCTAAAAATATTGAACTAGTACCATGAAACAATGGTACTTATACATACAAACTTATATGTCAAAACAACAACATTAATTTCAATGTCAGAAAAGTTATTCTTTCAGGATAATAATGACTGTCATTATTTCAAAATATTAAGTCATTATTTTGACACAGTGAGTCATTACAATTAACTTTGACTTCATCTGTCAAATATGAAGTAATGACTTATTTCTCAATATAATGACTTCTTTCTTGAAATATTGGTTTAATATCTGAAATGTATCTTTTTTTCTTAAAACATCAACTTAATATCTTAAAATAATGACTTTTTTCTCAAGATTACAGGATTATTAATATTGATATTTAATAACAATAAATTTAAGATTATTAAATTCAATGAGTTATTAATTTCTAGAGAGTAAGTAAATATTTCAGGATTATAAGTCATTATTATGAGTTACTAAGTCATTATTTTGTCATTGTAAGTCGTTGCAATTAACTTTGTGTCTCAAATATGAGGTAATGATTTTAGGATTATTAAAATTGATATTTAATAACAGTAAATTTAAGATTATTAAATGCAATGAGTTATCAATTTCAAGAAAGTAAGTAACTTTTTCAGGATTATAATAATCATTATGGGATACTAAGTCATTATTTTGACATAATAAGTCATTACAATTGACTTGCATTTCAAATGTGAAGTAATAACTTATTTCTTAAAAAAATGACTTATTTTAAAATATTGGTTTATTACGTAAAAAATACTTTTTTTCTTGAAGCATCAACTTAAAATCCTAAAATAATGGCTTTTTTCCTCAAGATTTTAAGATTATTAAGATTGATATTAAATGCAATGAGTTATTAATTTCAAGATAGTAAGAGTGCAGGTAATTATTTCGGGATTATAAGTCATTATTATGAGATTCTAAGTTATTATTTTGACATAGTAAGTCATCACAATTAATTTTGACTTCAGATCTCAAATATAAAATAAGAAAGAACTTTTCTTAGCATCTCAAAATAATGGCTTTTATCTTCAAGATTTTAAGATACTACATCAAAACAAGTAGTTATAAATAAAAGATAAAATTTCAAGGAAGCGAGTAATTATTTCATTTTCATAATCCCATTATTTCATAATAATCAGTCATTATTTTGAGACACTAAGCCATTCTTTTACATTCATAACATAACAAGTCATTATTTCGACAAAGTAAGTCAATACTTGGTAGAAAAGAACTCATTATTTTGAGATAGTAAGTCAATATTTTGACAAACTGCTGCCAGAAACAGAGAAGGAGAAAAAAAACAGACTATTATTTCTCCTCCACCTGGTCATAATGGGGTTCCATAGCGGCATAAGGTCAATTACCATGGACAATAATGTCGACACATTTCTCTGTGCTTAGTGAAGAACTGAAAACCCACGGACTCCAAAGACACTTACAATAGAAAGCAATAGGCAGCTGCTTCATCACCTGCACTGTAGCTTCTATTGTAAAGCACTGAAAAACACATCAAAATCACTGTCCATAACCCACCGTATGCTAAGAGCGCAGCTAAAAGATCAGCTCGGAGTATTTCTTTAATCTACTCCTGCAAGAATTTGGGTCTTCCTTCAGATGCTGAAGGCTATCCACGGCCGTCTGAATAATTACCATGCATTCCAAAGTTATAACGCGGTCCAGCAAATCCGTGCTCACCTGGGAGCGGAGGAGGCCGGAGTTTGTTTACGTGCTGCTGTTTCCCCGGTTTCTTTCCAGTTGATGGGATTAGGCCTCTGCTGGGCAGCCTCTGCTTATTTTGTGATTAGCGGACGAGTGGCAGGGCAAGAGCCCCATCACCAGCCAGCGACGGCCTGTACAATGACTTCGGCACAAAGGGAAGACAATTATGCCATCATTGTGCGGAAGAAGGACGCTGCACTTTTTTAACAAAACCCGCAATCCAGGCCCTGAGAGCTGCCAGGAGGCAAAATGAGCTGCTGATAAATATGTCCTTTCAGCAGAGAGGGTGAGCGACTCACTGTGAACAAACAGCTGATTCCTTATAAGGGATTAGTACTTACTAGTTTTGGAGTCACCTAGTTTTGCTGAGAGATACTAAATGGGCTGTCCACCTTGTAACAAGCCACATGTGCTGGATCACAAAATAATGAAATAAAGCAAAATAAAGTAAATAAAAACTCAGACAGCACTATCACAATTTGCTAAATATGTCTTTAGAAATTGTAAAATAATTTCTAATTATTTCTTTATTTCTTTCTCACAACAGGCACCCATTTTCTCACAATACAAAAATGGAACTGACATCAAAACAATATATATCATTTTCAGAGATATTCAATGTTCCAATAGAAGAACAGGGGTCTGAAGGACAGTGAAGGTCGTACAAATACTATATTATACTATATTAAACTTTATCTGACATTTCTCTTTTACATAAGGTAGTATATTTATCATTTTTAAACATGGGGACAATGACCACATAGGAAACTGACCACAACAGCAGGCTACTGCTTTGACATATCAATAGATATTGAAAGCCCTTAAATGGGAAATCCACCACTTTTTACAGCAATTTAATCAATAAGATGTAAACAAAGTCATTCAGAGTGGTTTGATGTGAAATTCTGTTCTAGAGAAACTTACAGGGTCAGAATTATTTCCAGTGGTGATGGGAACCAGATGTCCACCTCTAAAGCTCCCTCACAGGAAGGGATTACACTAAATGGCTAAGGACACTTTGCCTGATGCCTGAGACTTGGTTTTATGATAGTTCTAAGTTTTGGCCTAAAACCTATTTTCATATTGGAGGTACATGCAGGGTGTTGTAAGGACAAATAATCCCAAAGAAGAATGTATCACTAATTTACCATTAAAACTCAGAAGACATGTGTAGGTTCACTTGTGGTTTTGGATAGTAAATAAATGGCTATATATGTGTTGTATTTGTGTTGACAGTCTAAAATAAGGGGGAAGCTGAAATACAGGACTAGTTCTGGGCACTGAAGGAAGGAAGACCTTAGTGTTAGCAATGGTTTAAAGCGGTGTAAGATGATCATGGGTCAGGCCTTGTAGAGAAGATACTCACCCTGCTGAGGCCCATATGATAGCTGCTCTTCTCCAGGTCCAGAGATTCCAGCAGCTCTTCTACGGCCTGAAAAAGCGCACAGACATTCCTGCGTTACTTTACGTTCCTTTCTTTAAAAATGAACAGTTAACTCATTTGAAAGCTACCTAAACTCCTGGGTAAACAATGGGCCAACATATTAAGCTTTTAATGATCTTAACAATAAATCATTAAACAAACAGATAAAGTATTCATGAGTAAATTTGCAGACCTTTAACAGTAATAAGAGGCGGTATTTTTCCACTAAGCATTGACGGCTTCAAACAGTTGAAAAACATTGCTGAGCTGGTTTTTGTTTAAGGTGAGACCAAATATTCGCTACAGGGTTTCAAACTGGACTCTGTCCAGGCCAAAACCATCAGTAAAAACTATTATATTTTGGGCTTGGCCCATTGTTTTGCCCAGGAGTGTACATAGGGACTTCATAACATGAACAAACACACTGCATAATGTATTCATTAAGTCACACTTCAGTATCTATGAACAGCTTATTAATAATCAGAATGGCACAAGTTGTTGTGAAGTCAACTACATTGGCTTTTGGACCCTTGAACTAAAGTGAGAGACATTTAATTTAAAACCCTGTTGGGAAGCGTTATTATAAGGTACCTAGTTAGGAACACAACATACACCGCGTCCACTTTAGTGCAGTTTCTAACACGGAGACCTACGAGCAAATATAACCTGTTCATCAAAACAGTATAACATCACTGTAATAACTCAAGGACATTTACTTTTGATACTTGATACGATGTGATGTTGAAAAGCAAGCAAGTTTGCTCAGGTAATATTACCAGCAGTATTTTCACTTCAACTCAAGATTTTTGCATGAATATACGACTGAGGGCATCAAAACCTTCTGCAGAACTGATATACGGTGTTCTTAACTAGGCCTCTGCCTTGTAAAGTTCCACTTCAAGAAAACAATGCTTTACAACAGTGTTATAAATAGAACAAATATGTGTCACTTTTAGGGCTGGGTGTTTTTTTTTTTTTAAAACTGTCTGCAAATACTGAGGTCTACGGTATTTCTGTGCACTTTTTTAAGCCATTTTCATTACTTTCGAGCCAATCACTCCACAAATGTCAATCGAGAGGTCCACATGAGGCAGATTCATCCACGGGTCCTGTGTAACTGGAAAAATATTTTGGGGGCTGGATTCATTTAAAGGCACAGCAGTCATTGCGGGTAAACAGATTGCGGGCTTGTGCGGCTGTGTGGGGCGGGCTTGACACAATTCCAGACACATCCTCAAATTTCGATCTTGACAACTATGACAAAGATGAAGTGACACGCCTTTCATCAAGTGACTCTGAAACTCCAGCATTTCTGAGGGTAATAATCGTATGCAAGGTAACAGCCGAATTAGGTTTACACGCCGTTCACGTATTTTCATCTATGGAAGGCCGGAGAGCCCATGAGCTGTAGCCATAATTTTCTGAACTGTTATCGTGAGATAATGAGTTAATTATCTTGTGATCACAAGATAAAGTTAGAATGTGTTTATTTATCCATTCACACAGAATAGAGCTTTGCCACATCATATCATTTTTAAAAATTGCGGTTTACCTTATTACCGTTATTCCTCCCATACTTATCTAGTCACTTTAGTTTAAAGCCAATTATGTCAATTCAACATCATAACACATGTTATGTCACCTTGCGATTACTAAGCTGTTTGTAAATATTGCAGAATTGATTTTTAAATATGTTAAATACATAACAGTTATGCATGTGTTATGAAGTTCCTATGTAGATAGCCTCCAAATAAAGTATATTGCACAGCCATCATATTGTAATTTCTAATGTGCAAACCTAAAAACAATATGCAAACGTCTCTACTGACTGAAGGCACGGCTATAAATAAACAGATAAACAAGACAAAAACCAACCGTATTTCCCAACAGAGCAGAGCCACCAGTCCTCTAAACGTCCTACTGCTGTCACTGACTCAAAACAACCCCAAGAATGCCACTTCTACCTCTCCCCCTCTCTCTCTTTCACTCTCTCTACCTCGATCCTTCACTCCCTCTCGGGTACAGACAGGTCTTGAGAACTCAAGCTGAATGGCCCCATCTAGATTACACTGTAAGGCCCCCCTCCACAGCACTAAGGGGCCATTGTTCCAGTCTGTTTCCACAGAAACCCATCAGTGAGACGCTGGCACAGGGGAAATCAGCTTCTGGCTCTTTTCTAGCCCCGCTCTCCTCTCTGCTAAGGCCGGCTTTTGTGCATTCTTTCTTCTTCCCACCATTTGAGTTTCGTGAGGCTCCTTCCAGAGGGAATTCAAACACAATTGACCTTCGCTTCCCTCGCACTTCTCATCAGGATGCAAAAAGAGAGGCTGAAAAAACCTTCCGATGCTTTTTTTGCCACACAAATTTTGGGGGGAGGTGGGGGTCACAGAACTTGAGAGATTTCAAATAAACCTATAGTTGTGCGACAGCAGCTCCCGCTTGCCTCAGCAAATCATTAGGGCCCAGGCAGCTAAAGAGCTCCCCGGGTGGTGGCTCCATTTTTCAGAGTTGATAATTACAATAAGTTTTGGGCCATTTTTCCGAGCCCTAAGCCCCAGCGCAATTAATACATTTCTCCTGTCGGCGCCCCTTATTGATTCGAGTGGGAAACACAGCTGGCAAGGCTTGATTAAGCCATCACAATGGGCCTGATTAAGCAGGGTTTATTTCTCTGTTATGGTGGCGTAGACACAGAAGCGAGCGAGATGAGCAGGAAGGTTTCTCTCATTTCTTCAACAAAAATGTAGGCACTCACCCTCTTCTCATCCTTTACGATGTAGTTGCGGCCAAGCTTTTTGGTCAGGTGAGGAGCCAGGACGTCGAAGCGGCGGCGGAACTCGGAGAAGACCATGTGGTCAGGATAACCTGTGCAAAGGATCAGTGGGCAATAAGAAATCTGAAATATATAGTAGTATCAAAAGCTAGAGACCACCCTTCCTTTATTAAGTTATTCTGTTTTTAGGGGATATTTTGGAAGATATTAGATGTAGGATAAACCACTGGCATTAAGAAGAGGAAAGTCAAAAGGAGATGAGTGGGGGAAAAAACAGGACTTTCCAAAACTAGACAAGATACAGAGAAAATGGGATTCTTAACAACTGTGCAAGAGCTGGTAGACACCAAAACTGTCCCCACCAGATAAACAGCACTTAAAGCTTTCATCTTTGAGAGAGAGGAGAAAATCAAGCTCCACTCTTGATTCAGATCTGAAATAATACATATCCTTCCACTGTGTAACGACAACTCAGCACTGTGGGTCTGAAAGGATGTGTAGCCTTACTAAGAAGGAAACGCACAAAAAAAAAGAAAAAGAAGCTGCTTGTGTTCCCAGAACAATGGACTGGCCACCCTGCGTCCAGACCACAACATCACTGACTGTGTTTGGGATTATTCAGATTATGAGAAGCAGAAAATACAATAAACTTCTACGACTGAACTTTGAAGGTGAAAAATATCCCTGCAGATTTCTTTGAAAAACTAAAAGCAAGTGTCCTGAAAAGAACAAAAGCTGTAATAAAGGACTCTGAAGTGGTCAGTCTATTGTTCTGAGAACACCAGCAGCTTCTCTTCATGCTGTTTTTTTTCACTTATTTTCTTTTGACTTTATCCTTCCTTATGCAAGTTGATTATCGTATCTGTAATCTCTTCAGACATATCTCCTGAAGAAATGACTGGAAATTAAATAAGTGAAGGAACATCTTTGAAGAAGGGCGGAAGGAAGACTTTTGCACAGTGTTGTTAAGTGCTGGGAAATGGACAGGGTTACAAATGTATAACTAACACTAAAAGTGTTAAATATACTGCATTAAAAACATGAATATAATTACAGTCTCTCTATTGAAAAATTACAAAACTGGCACCTTCGTATCCCCAGTAACTGTTATTATTTGAATGTCAAAATTTATTTTAATTTTATTCTTCTAGTTTAAAAATCTACTGAATTGAAGTATGAGGTGGACTGTGGCTGCTGCTCTCCACACCTTGTCTGTAGATGCGGAGGGCATCCAGCAGCTTAGAGCCACGGAGCTGGGCCCTCAGTAAGGCCACGTCGAGCTGCATCAGGCCGGGGTCACAGCTCTCGCTCTGAGCTTCAGGAGAGCCTGCTTGTGGTGCATCCGCCAGGGGCAGCAGGCAGTGGACAAAGTGAACCCTGGACCTCCGGACAGTGTCAAGTATTGCATCCTGCAAGAGGAGAGAAACGGCACGGAAGGAAAAATATCATTACTCTGTGCATGATTAGCCAAGAAGTCTCAACGGTTAGTCAACAAAGCCACAACGATTAGTTAACAAAGCCACAATGATTAGTTAACAAAGCCACAATGGTCAGTCAAGTAAGGCAACAAGGCCACAACATTTAGTCTACAAGGATCAGAAACTAATCGACAACCATTGCGACGATTAGTCAACAATAGAAAAATTGTTTATCGTTGCAACAATTAATCAACAAAGCTCCAATGATTAGTCTACAACAGTTATTCAACAAAGTCACGACAATCTGTCTACAATGAATGGTCTATAACAAGTAGTCAATAGCAACTGCCTAATTGTCAATTATAGCAACGATTGGTCAACAAAGTTGCAGTAATTATCAACAATGATTAGTCAACAAATCCACAACTATTAGTCTACAATGATTGGTCAACAACAATAGAAAAAACTGTCAATCATTGAAACAATTAGCCTACAATGATTAGTTAACAGTCACAACCATTATATACAACAACTGCCTAATCATCAATTATGGCAATGTTTAGTCAACAACATTGCAGCAATTTATCAATAATTATTAGTCAACAAAGTTGCATCAACTGGGCTACAACGATTAGTCAAGAACAACGAACTAATCGTCAGTCACTGCAACGATCACTTTAATTGTCAGTATTGTTTTACTGTCGATGCATCATGTACTCTGTAATATTTATATGATGCAGATAGTAGGGGGTGATATGGTTTTCAATACACCACAAAATCGCTTGTCATAACAATGGTGGTGGCAAATGCGGAGGAGCCAAAAAAGGTGTAATAGTCAGATTAATCAACTGAATAATAGTTTAAAAAAACTGAATAATAATTGTTAGCTGCAGCCCCATATTATGCTAACAACAAAAGTTGCATAAGCCCTATGTTTAGGAGCCTCTTCTAAACCTACCACTTGCAGTTTGATCTGGATACAGAGAGACTTCTTCTTCACAGCAGCCATGCCGGTGGTGAAGGTTTTCCTCATGCTGGTGGCCCGGCGCAGGGCGAGCTGAGAGCCGCCCTCCAGGCCAGCGATGGAGCCCGACAGCACCGTCGCGCTACCAGAACGACCAACGAACAAAGCGCTGATATTCTTCCTTTAAAAGAACAGCCAGAAATCAGGGACAGTAAGCACTGGGCGGTGTTTGTTCACACTAGACACTGTACATTAGAGCAGTGGTCCTTCATCTCAGTTCTGGGGACTGTCTTCATCTCCTCTGGTTCAATTTTTTAGACAACATGTCCAACCCTTTGGACCCCCAGAACCGGGACAGAACCGCTGCATTAAGACAGGACAAACTTTATTAAGCTTAAAAAGGAAAGTTTTCCAGAGTGGGAGTGGGGAATTGGCAGCATTTGATTCATTCTTGTTCTAGATAGTGTCAAGTCAATTCAAAACAGCGTATTGTATTATATTATATTATTGAGAGCTAGTAAGAGTTTCAATTGTTAGCACTTCAAGACGTTCCATAGTCTAAAGTGCAGTTTTTATCATCACTAATCAGAGGCTAAAAGGGGCTAAACATGTTTTCAGTAAGTCAAATTGCATCAAAAACACAACACGTATTCACGACAGTTCAATGACTAAAACTGCACTTTAGAATATGAAACACATCCTGACATGTTCAGCTCTTATTAGCTCTAACTGAAACTAAAAAATAAGTAACACCACATAGAAACTGTGTCAAATGCTATCAAATGCTGCTATTTACACTAATAGAGTTGAATTTAGATGATATTTATACTCAATTATTTGCACAAGATTTTAAAAAAGTTTTTATTTTGCATTATAACAACTAATAACGCATTGATTAATGATTTTTACATAGCAAACCTCCAGTTATTTATTAATATAGATCATAATGAATAAAACTAAACCATTTGGAAGGGCCTAATTCAGGCATTCCTGAACAAAGAACCAGATCTTAATAAACCCCCAAAATGTGTTCCTCAAAATAAAGTATCATAGACATAAATGTGAGTGTAGAAGGATCAGTTGCCTGACTTCACATCATTAAGATAAAATAATCAATAAAGAGTAGCGTAGAATATGTGAGAATCCAAATGGATCAGTAACAAGAGGCTGAACATGAATTCATTAGCATTAAGGTGCACTTTTCACTCTATAGGTATTAGCAGGTCTGTCTTACTTCTGGGAATTCTGCAGCAGACTGGCTGCGTTCTGGGAGGCGGGATTTTGCTTGGCATAATTCAGCCAACCACGTGCGTCGTACTCCACCCAGTCCGTCTCATGGCCGTGGCCAAGCAGAAAGTGCTGTGGTCGCTCACTCTTTAACAGCAATGTGTGACCTGTAAAGAAAAAAAAACAAGCTTATAAAACAGATGTACATGTATATCACTGCTTGGATCTATGAATGGCAATAATGTGCCAAGTTTTTAAAAACTACTGTGTTCTTCATGGAATAACCTTTGTAATGTAGCTTGGCAACCACTGACCACTACAAACTACATTGATCGATGGTGGCGCTTGTGTGTGAAGCTGCTAAACAATGACCTTTCTCTGAACTTGTATTTGAGCGCCTATTTTACAGACAGCATGATGTCAAAAGTTTATTTTTGAGGACCCCCAGAATTTTGATTTTGAGACATTCCAAGGGTCCAAGAGGTTAATTAGGGTGTCCCAGATCCCCAGAACCTTCTGTATTTCGCACCTTGGTTGTGTCTAACAACACCCTTTATCTGTGGTAAAATCACTACAGACCTCTGAAGTCATGGTGTCACGCCCATATTAAGCTCTGGGTCTAATGTTCTTTTCTTAATAAAGTCTTCCTCTATTCAGAATGGATGGACCTGTAGATGTTCTCGGATCTAAAGCAAGAGTGGAGCTTCTTTTTGTTAGGTTTGCTGGTCTTCCAGTTCTTTCACAGTTGTGGGTCCTATTTTCTCTGTTTCTATCATTTTCTATGTGTATCTTTTAATCTTTTTTTTCTGTTTTGACTGGAATTAAATAAATGAAGAGTGGTCTCTGACCTTAGCACAGTACTGTAGGTATAAATAAATGTGTGTGTGACCTTTGCTCTCTCCCTCTGCAGGCCCATAGTAGCCAAAGAGTCTCTCCAGCAGTGTGTCCTCTGATCCTCCTGGCTGCAGTGCCTCCTCCTCCATTAGCCAGAGCAGCCCCCTCGCCTCATCTGTCCTCGCTGGGGTTCGTACCTAAAACAAACACACACATACATACACAAACGCACCTGTCAGAACCCCAGAGCATGCAGGAAACTGCCTGATAAACACCTCCATGTACCACCAAGGTATACATTACATCTCTTCCACATAAAGTGTGCACAGCTTGAAACTGCCTTGCTGCCAAAGACAAGTAATGACTGGAGGAGAAACTCAGCAAGAGCCCAGTCTGCTATTGACTTACACACACCAACAAGCTCCGAGGAAATCTGCCCAACTATACACTCTGCAACTTCAGTTCACGCTCAGCCGCACTCCAGCAAGGTTCATTCAGACCAAAGATATTCCATACCGACTACTCAGCTGAAAGGATTAGCTGATCGAAAACAATAATTACCATGGTTTTACACTTAACTCAGATGTAGTTGATCAGGCAAGACACATCCAGACACGTCTGGCGTCCAAATTTTGCTTCTTTTGTTTAAAGCTATAAGGCTAATGTTGCTAACAAACACTAGAACTCAATAGTCACCCATGTCTTTTCTGTGAATATATTCCCCAAACTTCTCCCATCCCGCTTAAATCACATCCAGCTCTACATTAAGGTTGCACAGACTTGGTGATGTGGTTTAGGACACAGTACAACTTATCGTGAAATATAAAAATTCAAAATTTCACTATACAGCTTAAAACAGTAGGCAGCCATTTTAGAGATGCCGAACTCTGAGTTTCCATTATCACACAAGCATATGGATGCTAGATCAGAGAATGCGTAGTGAGAAGAATTGCCACTCAATAATGTCTTCTGGGTTTGTCAAACGCTAGAGGGCGCTCCTGAGGAAGTTCAAAATGAATGGGCTTCTATGGAGCAAAGTCATGGGCTATGTTCACATTACAAGCCACACTGCTCAATTCCAATTTTTGCATTTTGATTAAGGTCACAAGTCTTGAATTGGATATTTATTATCCGATCTAGGAGCAAATATGAAAGTGGTTCAGGTTGAATTTGAAAAGATTCGTGTACCCACACAGCTCTAAGAACATCAAATCTATGTCACATTAAGGCCAAAAATCGTATTTGTGACATTTCAGCCTGATAATGTGAATGTAGCCATGGTCTGTAATTGGTCATGCTGGTTGACCAGCATACCAGCTTTCAAAACACAACATATGCTGGCTTTGTTAGTGACCACTAGCTAGTTTAGCATGGCTACCAGCATCTAACTGCCCAAAACCTGTTTGTTGTAGAAAAACTGATATTGGAAAGTTATCAAAATTAAAGGGTCCCACAAAAATACATCTAATTTTCCTTTTTTAGCCATTTAGCTCCATTCATTCCTATTTATTAAGGACTCCTGTGGGTGCCCTCTAGTGTTCTGCAGTCACATTATTGATATAATGGGAGAAATAAGAAGCTGCCAGGCCCCCACTAAAGTGCCTCTGGCTCGATTACATTCACAATTTCTGTTAATCCATTTTATTAATATTTGTTAATCTTGAATTTTCAAACTAAAGATAAATGTTAAATTGAAACAACTGAAGACTCCAATATAACCTAGTGTCTATACACCTACATGAACTTTAAGGGTAGTTAAGATTTGGGTGACTATTGACTTCTAGAGTTCGTTGGCAACACTAGCCTCATAGAGCCAGTGCTTAAATAAAGAAGCAAATCTTGGACACTAACTACGTGTGAGGTAAGTGGAAAATTGTGTACAATTGATTTTCAGCCGAGTCATCCCTTTGAAGTCGTTTTATAACACCATTTACGGTGAATTCACAACAGGAAGCAGCATTTTGTTTATCGCCACTGCAGTGTTGGACTTTGTTCAGTGACTTTTCATTTCATGCTTTATTGTACTATAACCAATGTTAAACAACACTTCCTCTGTCCAAGCAATTATTGTGTTGTCGAGTGTTTTAAAAGGCTACGCCATTAGCCTTCACATTCTCATTCTGACTCAAAGGCAGCAGAGCGCTCCTGCAACCCCTCAGTAAAGGCAGACCACTTTAGCAATTATGGAGAAATAGCCGCCTCTTTTTCTCTCCATTGTTCCTTTGTTTCGCTAAACTCAAGTTTAATACAAGAGAGAGAAACTACAACAGCAGACGCTGATACTCAAGACAAAGCGCTTAGCCAACATAGTTTTTTTCACTTAATAATAATAATAATAATAATAATAATAATAATAATATATTTATTTATTTATTTATTTATAGAGCCCTTTTGTACCAGTGGCAGCTCAAAGTGCTTTACAGACAGGTGATAAATCTCAACAGTAACAGAAGAAATTATAAGTATTAATTTAATATCATATAAGATAATGACACAGATCAAATTAAAAAGATAAATACCAAAGAGATATAGAGTTTTAATTAAATGCTAAGGTAAAAAGATACACTTTCAAATCTTTCTTAAAATTGTGCGCTGAGCTTGACTGTCTAATACAGGGTTTGGCAACATGCGGCTCTTTTACTGCCCTGTTGCAGCTGCGCAGAAGAATTAGATCTTTAGGTAAAAATAAAATAATCCTCCTTTGCAGTGAAATAAAGCTCTGCTGATTGTTCAACACAGTTTTAACAATAAATGGTTGTAAACGCTGAAGTTAATGTAGCTATAACTGCTAAATCACCCTTTAACCCTGATGGTTGGTGCACAGACTGCTGGTCACAACAGCAATACAGACAACAGTCTCGACTAGGTAGTAGCTAACAAAACAGCAAAGACTGAAAGACTGAAGATGAACATCAATAATTTGGAGACGAATTGACTTATTTACAGTTCTAATCACTCCAGCTGGCTTCCTGATATGTTTAATCTGCAATGAGAAACCGTCAAACACTAAAAAGGCGTGAAGCTGTAGTCAGCTTCTCATTCGCCAGCTTCTTGTTCATATTTTCCCGTTCCACCTTAAATGATGCAGCGGTTGCATTTTGGCGCCTCAGACACCATTTAAGGTGGAACGGGAAAATTCGAACAAGAAGCTGGTGAATGAAAAGCTATTTTACTTTTGTGAAAAAGTTTCCTGTTGGATGTTGATGTGAGAAAAGTGGCTATAGCTGAGCTAAGGCTTAAAGCAGAGCAAAGTAGTTTATATTATTATAGTTTATATTAGATTTTTTAGCCTATAAAAGCACATTAGCACATATTGAGACATATTTACACCCATGAAGGTAAAATGGACATAACGTGTTGTGGCTTTTAAGGTGGTTTGATCATTTTTGAAAGGACTAAATGGCCCTTCAGAACATTTGGGTTGCTGACCCTTGGTCTAATGGAAGGTGGAATTGAGTTCCATAGTTTAGAAGCTTAGTAGTAGTTTAGTAGCAGTTCTAAGATCATGTGCTGGAACATAAACATTCTGTGAGATAAGCATGAGCTTTTAATTTAGAGTCTTAAAATCTAGTAGCAAAACTTTAAAATCTATTCTAAAGGATACAAGTATCTGGTGCAGTTTGAAATGGGAGCGATATGAGCTCTCTTTTTGTTTTTGTTAGAATCCGTGCTGCTGCATTTTGCATGAATGAAGGCACCTTCATAAAACCTTTCAAATTTTAACAGAATGGACCAGAGAGAAGAAGCATAGCCAGAGGAGGGTACCAAAGGTGAGTTCTTACCAAAGCTTGACTGGAGGCTTGGTCTACAGCAGCAATGGAGAGTGAAGTGCTGGGCTCGATGTCATCTAAGGCAAGCTCTATGTTTTCCTGGGGAAAGAAAGTTTGGTTAACAACTTGTTAATTTGCTTTGAGTAGGGTAAATAACTATGCAACAATGCAGGGCATGCGCAACTATCTAAGCATTGGCTCAGTGAACTTGCATGTCCTCTCCTGTCGATGCCACAGCCATCTGTATAAGTAAGCGCATATATCTTATCGTTATATATATGTATACACACACAACGATCAGGCATAACATTATGACCACCTCCTTGTTTCTACGCTCATTGTCCATTTTATCAGCTCCACTTACTATATAGGTGCACTTTGTAGTTCTACAGTTACAGACTGTAGTCCATCTGTTTACTCTGATACTTTGTTAACCCCCTTTTACCCTGTTCTTCAGTGGTCAGGACCCCCATGGACCCTCACAGAGCAGGTATTATTTGGCTGGTGGATCATTCTCAGCATTGCAGTAACACTGACGTGGTGGTGGTGTGTTAGTGTGCGTTGCGCTGGTGTGAGTGGATCAGACACAGCAGTGCTGCTGGAGTTTTTAAAGACCTCAGTGTCACTGCTGGACTGAGAATAGTCCACCAACCAAAAATATCCAGCCAACAGCATCCTGTGGGCAGCATCCTGTGACCACTGATGAAGGACTAGAGGATGACCAACACAAACTGTGCAGCAGCAGATGAGCTGTCGTGAGGCTAACAAAGTATGCAGAGAAACAGATGGACTACATTCTGTAACTGCAGAACTACAAAGTGCACCTATATAGTAAGTATGTATATATATATATATATATATATATATATATATATATATATATATATATATATATATATATATATACATATATATATGCAAATACACATGATTTAAAGATCAGACAGGTGTTAGCTTAGCTAATGTAACAGAATTGGTAGTTAGTGTTCTCCTCCAAGCGTGGTGAGCTGTCCAGTGAGGCTGCATTAGCAGCACTTACAAAGGATGTAATGCAGCTTCAAGCTTGTGCTATCCTTCACCCTTCTGGTTTAGAAAGTGTACTCACATTCTGTCATGAATAGTTCCACTGAAGGGTCTACAATTGCATTAAATGGCATTTAATTACATGACATATAATCACCTATTTATACTGCATATATAAAAGGCCTGAAATCAGCTGCAAAGAGATATAGGCACTTTTAAAATCAGCCAGTCACACTGTGGTACAACAGGTTTGTTGGACATTTTGGAACCAGACGAAAACAATAAAATAAAACCCCTTCTAGACACAACACACAAAAAACACTAGTTGAATGCAATTGGCTGGAGGCTTACAGGAGATATATATTGTTGGTCTAACTGGATTCAGAGAATGCAGTTAGCAATGTCAGCTTCTGAGTAATAAGGCTTTTAGCATGGTGCTGTATAATTTCGTAGCATTCAGACTAAGCTAGAACAACACTGCCTCGTAATCTAAATGTCCGGCTGCTCAGTGCATTTTCTATTTGTCTAGATGAGTGACCTCACTGCTGACAGGCGAGGCTGTCAGAAAAGCCATTTAAAAATCAGCGATGTTTGTGTGCCTGAAGTGGGAAAGTGTTGAGGATGGAAAAGACATAACAGCTATTAAGCATATTCATCATATCCATTATAACACGA